CCTACACCCTCCTCTCCTAGTACACTAGTACCTCCCTCTTACTTACTAGGGACCTAGGGGCCTACTAGCCCTATCTACGGAGACGAACACACACTACCGCTACCAGATGTTGCAGACATACCTATAGGCCTAGGCCGAGACCGGTATAACACCTACTAGCCCCGAAACAAGTACCTATAGCAGCTATTCGGATACAACCACGTATAGGCAAAGGACCACACCTTTCGTGGTAGCTAAGCCGCTAGCTTTATGGCTGCCGCGGCTAGGTGTGCCTCTAGATACACACGCTAACCTACCGAGAAACACCTACTAGACTTCCTACTACTCCTAAAGGCTAGCCTTACCCTAGGCATCCAATTAGAGGAGTTTAGCACCTAATACGTCCTACAGCACTACCCGGACCTAATGCTACCTCCGCCAAACCGCGTAGAAACCGATAAGGCCTAGGAGTTTCTAGGCTAGCTAGACAACCGCCGGGATACCCCCTGCTCTAGGGCCTAAAGACTGGTAGAAAAGGGCTACCTAGGCAGAGCGGCAAGGGCACTAGTAGACCCCTTAACTCTAGCTAGGAACTCGGCAGATATACTAGCTAAACTAAGGGAAAAACACCCGGAGGGGTAGTCCTACCCCTTTGCCTCCTCGGCAAGCCTTAGGCCGGGCCCTAGACCACTTCCGGAAGACATCCTACAAGCCCTAGCCTCGTTTGCCCTAGATATAGCCCTTGGCCTATCCGGCTGGTCAGTCCCCTTACTAAGGGAAGCCTATAAGCATAAATAGGTGATAGACTTTCTTACCCACCTCTATAAGCAGGTACAAAACGGCCTAGCACCAGGAAACCAGCTACTTACCGCATCGAGACTTGTGGCTCTAGATAAAGAAGACAACGGGGTCCAGCCAATTGCGGTAGGAGAGCTTATCTATAGGCTAGTAGCTAAGGTCTTACTCCAAAAACAGTTCTCTAAGGACTAACTAGCCCCCTTCTAGCTAGGGGTATAGAGCCCTGGCGGGGTAGAGCCAATCATACACCTACTAGGACACGCGGTAGATGGAAACCTTAGTGGATACACCCACGTCTGCTCTATGGACTTTAAAAACGCCTTTAACTTAGTCTCCTAAGCAGCGGTAGCCCACGGGATCCTAAGCTATGCCCTAGAGTTTTATAAGGCAGCTAGATAGGCCTACAACGAGCTAGTAGCCCTAGTAATGTATGACAGCACGGTAATTACCTCCTTAGAAGGGGTTAGATAAGGAGACCCCCTTAGCCCCTCTTCTTCTCCTTAGCCATTTGGACTACCCTCTAACAGCTACAACAACAGCTATAGAGGGCAACCAGCTATAACAGACCCCCTCCTATTGTCCTAGCATACCTAGACGACGTCTACATCATCTTAGGGCAACAGATCACCCTATAACAACTAGAAGGCTACCTAGAAGACGCCCCTATTGCCCTAAACATAGATAAGACAAAGACACACCCCTATCGGCAATATAGACCACGGGAATGAAGATACTTAGCTCCTTTATAGGGCTAGAGCCACGGAAGGCCGAATTCCTAGCTACAAGAATAGAGGAACTCTAGACGGTGCTAGATAGGCTAAAAGACCTACCAAAACAACACGCACTCCTTCTACTTAGGGCTAGCACCTCTATACTCCTCCGACACCTTCCTAGGACCATGGGATCATAAGGACTCCTAGCAGGATTCCAAGACATTGACATAAGACTCCTAGAAACCATAAAACACCTTTAAGGCTTAGAGGATAGAAGACTACTAGATTAGGACCTAGTAGCCCTCCCTACTAGGCTAGGAGGCCTAGGAATACCTCTCTACGCGGAAGTGGCCAAACTAGCCTTCCAAAACTTATAGGCTATAGCAGACATCACCCTATAGAGGATCCTGCCGCCAAAACTCTTTTAGCGCCTACCCCGAGCACCCTCGCTAGCCCCTAGCAACACTAACATAGAAGGCCACCCCTAGGCTAGCCATAGGCCTACATAAGACCAAGAAGACAACCTATAAGAGGACGGCCTAGAAGAGGACGTAGACGAGGCTATAGAAAAGGGCACACGAGGACTAGATGAATAAACCACTCTAGGAAGCTAAGAGCAAGAATAGGAACAAGAATAGGAACAAGAACAGGAATAGGAACACACTGAGGACCGCGGCAGAAGCAGGAATAGAGCAGACCAACAACCATAACTAAGCCTATCCTACCTCCTAGCCTAGGACACCCAACAACAGCCTAGCTTCCCCTAGAACACTAACAACTAGACCCCACTAGTACTAGCCCTGCTAGAACCATCTACCGAGCTGCAATAGACAAGCTTAACAGAGCTCGACTAGCTAGAGTATAGTAGAAGCTCTCTTTATAGTAAGAGAACGTACGGATCAAGAATTTAGCCTTCCTAGGCCGAAGATGGCTATCCGTAATGCCTACCTCATAGCCCCTTCTACTTATAGACATGGACGTAGCCGTAGCACTTTCTATCCGACTTCTTACATCCCCTAAAGAAGGCTAGGACATCTGTAGGCACTGTAATAGGGCCTATACCTTTACCTACGAAGACGCCTGCCGTGCTAGGACTAGACAGACGATTATTAAACATAATAAGGTGTGCTAGGCGTTAACCACAGCCCTACAGACCGACCTATAGAACAAAGTCACTCTAGAACTATAAGGAGACTACCAAGGAATTCGGACAGACATTAGAATCGACAACCCTAAGGGAACCACCTACCTAGATGTGTCCATCATTTCCCTAGGCAAGGAAACCGCTAGGAAGGACCCTAATAGCACCCTATTAGCCGCGGAAAGGGCTAAGAAACTTAAATACCAAACCCTAGGCCGAGCTTTTAAGCCGTTTATCCTTAGCTAAGGAGGCCTCCTAGGGAAGGAGACCTCATAAACCTATAAGGAATTCTAAAAGTCCCTCGGTCCTAGCACCTTAGAGTGGCTAGATAAGTATATCTCTACTACTCTAGTAAGACTCCGGGCTAGAAACTGGCTAGGATATGGCATAGACTAGATAGACCCCCTTTCCTTTATTACTTTCCTTTATCTTTTTACCCCCTTTCCTCCGTTTTTTTTTTTTTTTTATATAGAAAGTAGTTAGACGAGCAAGAATAGCTTAGATAGAAGCATAATAGAGTGTTTGCTAACCCTAACCCTAACCCGATCGAAATAAATATTATATATATCTTAAAAACATATTACTTAGTAATAACAATTAATTATTATTACTTAGAATTTCTAAGGTTTAACTAGTAGATGTATTTATTCTTTTTCTTAATTATCTCTACTAAAACTTTATGTTTTAGAATACTTTATATATAGAACTAATAAGAAAAGAAAGCTCTTTAATATATATATAAGAAAGTATAATAATTAGCTATAAAAAGTCTAACCCTAGACCAATATTTCTAAGCTAGAGTCTTACATACAACAAATTCTAGGTCTAGCCCAATAGCGGCAAGGTCCCATCTAGTGTCTGTAACTAGCAAGATAAGAACGGTGGAACACACTTAGTGATAGGATCTCTATATGTCAAAAAGGATGGTAATGCAAACGACGTCAAATTAGGCTTCGAGGCCTTCGAGAAGGACTTTAAGAGGTATGTTTCTAAGACTTTTATGTCGTCTTACATGTTGACATCGATCCTAGCGAGTGAGAGAAGTATTAAGGCGCGACCGTGCGAATATTTAGCATTAGGATGGAATAAGGTCTCGAACTGCATGCGTTGTTATTAGAAGCAACTTTCTCTCCTCTTCGTACAAGACCCACTTGTTGCGCTATACCTACCTATTGCATCTTATATTCTTCCTAGTGTTCTTGGGATCATTGGCGGATTATGGAAGTTGTGATTCTCTAGATGTTAGATGCAGTTATTATATCCGAAGCGCTTTCACTCCATCGGTTCTTCTAATTGGCAAGCTTTTGATCGTATAATCTTCAACACGAAAGAAGGCCTCGACAAATCATTGTCTTTGCTCTACTACTCACGCATGAGATTCATCACGGGCCTTCTTCCGAATCTGCTCTCTTCCTCTCTCCCCACCGGCGCGAAAATCATCTCTGTCTATGCAGGAGGCATGGAGGCGCAAGGTAGCTTGTTCCCTAACGACCTATCTTTGGATCACCACTACTCATTCGCCAGCTGCCGTACACACGCCATTGCCATGAAGACCATGTTCTTGGAAGACCTAGCCACAAAACATGCTGGTAAGCTCTCTTGCTCTCACATCTACCCTGGTCTGGTCGTTCATAAAGGGTTCGATGACCCTCATTTTCCATTGTGGTTCAAGATTGCCTGGACGGCTGCCAAGCCTTTCACGAGATTTTTGCCCATGTATGTCAAGGCTGAAGAGATTGGGCAAAGGGTGCTGCATCTCGCAACGGACGCATATCCGGCTAGGACAACTGGGAAGAGCCCGGCTGGGTCTGCCCTGGCAACCATGGTGTCGAAGCTTGTATAATTCGGCCATAACTGCATTGTGGGTTATGGAGCCTAGCATGCTGGTATAGCTGCAAGCTGAACCTCTGCACAAGAGGAGCCAGAGTTGCCTACATACAGATTTGCATCGTATGCCGATGGGCAATTCAAGAACGGTACCCTATTACCGCTAGTAAAGACGCAAGCCAATGTGCCTACAGCACCGAAGATGTCCGAATCGCCGTTTCTAATCGTGCATAATATATACTCGACACCTGAGAAGTAGGGATAGAAGGAGTCTGTGGACTGCATTACGTACGAGAGGCCGTAGCTCGTATATGAGGTCCAACTATAGCCATTGTTCCCGCCTTATATCCTCTGACTATCGGACCTCATGACATAAGTGGATGCAACAGAAGAGTCGGATACGAAGCCGATGTAGCTGTAGGCACCAGGAAACATATCAGAATCCTGAAGATACTGGTTTGCTCGGTCGCCGTTGGCTACGAGAAACTTGTACGAAGTACATGAGTGATTCGGTACTGTGACTGTGTAATTCTACGTAAACGTCATACGAATGGCAAGCTGGTGGTGTTGTGATATGACCCCCTCTTACTGTCAACCCCATGCTCAATCGTAAAATCGTGCTTTACCGTGATCTGCGTGTCTTCCAGATTGACGCTCTTCGCGGACGGAGCCAGTTTTCCACTATACTGTTTGTCCGGTACGCCCACTGTGATCAACTCAAATTCTGATTCATCCGTAGGATCTTGTCGTGTTGGTCGAGCTAGACGAGCAGACAGTTTTGCGATGCGACTTTGGGAGCCGGGACTGTTGGACGATTTATTGTAGCCAGAGGTGCCGGAACGAGATGAGAGGTGGTTAGAGATACCGCGCGTGATGAGAATCTTGAGGCCCGGAAGAGAGGCAACGATGAGAGATGTGCACATTTCCGCTGTACATAGAACGGCTNNAATACAATTTGTGTCAGTTCTATGTTCCGCGACAAAGAGAAACCAAGAGATCGGCAGTCTTTTGATCTTACCTCCATCGTTGTCGCCCAAGTTATAGTTGGAAACCGTATAGATCATGAAGCGGGCGAAGCTAATAGCCATTGTGATCAGACCGAGCGAGAAAACACCAATCAAGCCGAATTTCTGTCTCTGTCGGAGCTTGAGCGATTTAATGATGAAAAAGGAATGAAGAATACTACAGCGTGTTAGCATGTATTGTGAGCTCTGAGATTCGTCCTTGTCGTGTATTGAGGTCTGCACAATGTAGCGTCTTTGTAGAATTGCGGACAAAAGCAGTCTTGCTCAAGGCGTGCCTTGTACCCCAATCTTACGCGGTGACAGTCTTGAGAGCTCGAACATGGGGAGATTGAACATACGGAATACGTCCGACGAAAAGTTGAGAGTCCAATTGGCCCAAAGATCCGTGTAAGAATTCCAAATAGATTGACCTTGCTCATCATAGTCCAACGACCAATTGTAGTGGATTGGATAACAAATGAACAGATCAATGAAAAAGGAGCCAGCCAGTGCAAGGCCAAGATAGACTGTGACAAGGCATAGCATAAATCTCAAACTTCTAAACATCTTCGGGATGAGCCACCAGTAGAAGGCTGTGATGGATGCTTTTGGCATGAACAGTCCAATGTCGAAGAAGAAGCATGATGCATAGACAGCCTAAATATGGTCAGCTCTCATGAATTATGGCGTGCTCAGTCGCTCAAGACCAACCTTGAGATACAGGACGGAGTCAATGTAAGTGCTCTCAATCAGAGGATGCGTTCGTGCAGCATTCAGCGCAATGCCTTGACAGATCACAAATGCGACCGCGAATACACAACCAGCCCATATTAGGTAGTCAGACAATGTAAGAGCACGCGCCTCGATCCTCAGACGAACAAAGCATCGCAAAAGAGTAATCGATAGCGTGAGAGTAAGTAGAAGCACTTGTGCAATCTAATCACACAGTGAGTGGAGTGAGGTCGTTAAGAAGGATGTGTCCGACTCACAATCGCAGTATTGAACTTCATCGGTCCAAGCGGGGCCAATTCGAGCAAAGTAGGTCAGTCGAGCGACCTGGGGGAAGGCGGACCTAATAATATTCACTACCACGAGGGGACCCCGGGTACATAGCTTGTGTTCCTGGTCAATGCGATTCTACGTTTTCCGATCATGCAGGTTGGCAAGCCTCATATAGGAGATCGAAGCGGTAGCCCAACTCTATTTCTAGACAAGATATATCCAAAAGACACGGCAGATCGACGGACAAAACGCTCAAATTCGGAATTGCGAGCAGATACCTTACTATTTGCATATAAGCGTGACCGATTGTGTTGTAGCAGTGACATAACGGTCATGGAAAGTGGTTGACGTGAAAACGCATCGAGTTATGTGCCGTCAAGTAGACTGTCTAGAGTGACCGTTGGGGCACTGAAACGCTGGTCAGTTGTGGCATCGCCATGTTTTCAGCCATGGAAGCGTCTTTAGCATGAGCCGTTGGAATTCCTCATGGCTAGTTGAGAAATACAGTTTGACTTTGTGAGCACGATAAGAGGAAGGACAAAGCCTCGAGAGTATCCTGATTCATGTCCTGCCACCTGTGCCGTTATTTCGCGACCGGATGACGCTGATCCGGACCGAGAAGCGCATCACAAGGAATTACAATGTCCCAAAGTGCAGAAGTGCTGCGGGTGAATAGTGATTCAATCCAGTAATATGGATGGTCAGTCTGTAGATGCAGAGAAGACCTTCTTGCGTTGGAGTCGAGATGAGATGGTGGGCACATTTTTGTTGCGACGTTCAGCCACGGTGGGTCACAGACGGGCGCGCCGACAGTTGACACAACCACAATAGCCTCAACGCTCCAGATTTTCGCTCTTGCTGCGAAAATTGTCAAGACCATTATCTTGAGGTTTATCTAGCCTTGCTCCCTTGTGAGTTTCTTCCTGTTGTTGTTCCGACGTTCACGGTTGATGTTATCGTCAGCTCTTGCGACATTGGCAAAATCGACAAATCAATCTCACTACCATCCTAAGCAGGGCAACAACCTTCTGCTCAGTCTTTCTCCCATCATTGATGATCACGGCAGGGCCAGAAGAAGGCTTGTCCCATCCAATGACTACCAGTACTCGCCAGGCCATTGGCACGACATATTGTCGCAATACTCTTCAGTCTCTGCTTTGCGGAACTTGTCAATGACGTCGCTGACACGGTTCTCATCGATGGACCAGTTTTCTTGACGAACGTGAGCGTAGAAAGTTTGCAACACCGCGAGCAATGAGATACCGAGATTCGTCACGAATGGATTTTCTCCAAGTTGGTAGAGATCATCGTGCTTGTCATCAATCGCGATGCCGTTGCTTGTGTGTGCCCATGTGTCTTCGCCGCCTACCGAGAGAGGCAAAAGCAAGCGTGTGGCATCTGTAAAAACATACAAGTGGTTTTGCGTTCAACTTTCGAGATACAGCCCTATGGTCATATGCGTGGGTCCACTGTACGGATGAGAAAATCAGTCAGATGCTCGGCATAAGCCCTTACCTCTAAGAAGGAGAATGGGCATCTTCTTCTGAATGTCTGCATTAGTTTGCGTTGATCTCGGACTCTTCTTGAAAGGCTGGTCGTCAAAAGCTTTCGCTGTCAGAATCTGCAGTCCTGGCGCAATAAAGATAAACTGAGGTCTCCGAGCCTGTAGCAAAGCTGTCTAGGGAATTCCACGATGACGCCAGCTGTCTCGAGCGCTTCGTCTACTTGACCTGACTCTACATCCTTGGTCGTCTGACGTTGTCGTTCTCTCAACAGCAGTTCTTTGTTATCGGCGGAGCTCGGTGTCGTCTTCTTTTCAGCGGCATTAACAAGAATATCTCAAGTCTGCAGGCATGCGGTCAACACTTCCTTGTTACACGGCTGAACGATCCAAGGTCCAAACATGACATTCTCGTTTCGCTTGACTCCAGTCACTGGATCTGCGAATATTGTATCTGGCCGATCATGAGTATACACCCACTGAAGCTCGTCGTTCACCAGCATACACTTTGCATCACCGGGTTGCCCGACATCACTGTGGAGACAGACAACTTTTTCGGACTCGATCATGTCGATGTAGACGCTGAGGACGGTCTCAAGCCTCTGCCATGGGAGAACCCTATCGATTGGCTCAAACGCGTTATTTGCAACGTCGACAACACGCTCATGTGTCTCCTGGTTGTAACTATACAAGAGGCGTTAGTCAAACTTTGAGCTGACCAGCAAAGGAGGCATACACAAGTCCGTAGGGGTGTGAGCCCCAGCGATCGTTCGAGGTGTAGAGTGTCTTTGGCCAGGATAATTCTCAAAGTTCTCAGATGGATAGGCAGGACACCCATGGCTATGCGGGCCGACAAGTCCTCCAAGGAAGTGGGAAACCACGAATATTGTCGAAGATAGAGAGTGGCATAGTTGTGGCTGGAGAGGACGTTGCGAACAAGAGTCCTGGAGTTTGTTGTCGGAGCCGCCGGGAAAAGTTGCCCTCCTGCCCCGCGGACGACCATGACCCCTCCATGACAGCACCAGCTTGAGCTCGGACTGTGATGTCACTCTGTTGATGCATTACCCGTTCAAGTAGCATTGTATCCACTCTCACTCTACTTTTTCTATATCCCCCTTGTGCTTTTCTGTCTCCCCTCTCTTCTATACACACCTTTCAAATTTTCTTGAAAATCGCATCAATCAAAATGTCTGAGCAAGAAGGTCCCGTTACCGCCTACACATGGCAAATTTCCGCCCAAGACCAGCAGGGCGGTCCCGGTCTCGACAAGGACATGAAGGAGCAGGCCAACTGGACACAACTCGAGTTCTGGGATGACAACGGCAAGCCTTACCTCAAGGAGTATGAAGGCAGAGGTCTTCTGCAAGACAAGGCTGTTCTCATCACCGGTGGTGACAGCGGTATTGGTCGTTCCGTCGCCATCCTCATGGCAAGAGAAGGTGCCGATGTTTCAATCCTCTATCTGCCCGAGGAAGAAGAGGATGCACAATGGACCATCAAGCAGATTGAGAAGGCTGGTCGCAAGGGTCACGGTATGCAGTATGATCTCAAGGAAGAGTCCAACTGCAAGGCCGCCATCGACGAGCACATCAAGGTCTTTGGCAAGCTCAACGTTCTTGTCAACAACGCTTCCATGCAGGAGTCGTGTGAGGACCACAGGGAGATTGACATTTCGGTCGTCACAAAGACCTTCCAGACCAACATCATTCAGGTATGTCATGAACTTTTGCATCGCCATGTAACATACTAACCACGCTTTTACNAGATGATGGCCCTGAGCAAGTACGCCCTCCAGCACATGAAGCGTGGTGACAACATTGTCAACTCAGCCTCCGTCCTCGCATACATGGGTGACGCATCGAAGGTCGACTACAGCTCTACCAAAGGTGCAATTGTCACCTTCACTCGCGCACTCGCAAAGCAGCAGGCGCCTAGAGGCATCAGAGTTAACGCCGTCGCACCCGGAATCATGTAAGATTTCTCTCCACGGCCTTTATCTCAGCCAACCAACTGACACCAACACAGCTGGACTCCCCTCCAACCCGCCACCGCCAACGTACCTGCTGAGGGCATGAAGAATGTCGGCAAGGGCATGGCCCCCATGGACAGAACTGGCATGCCCATCGAGATTGCCACTGCCTACATCCAATTGGCATCGCCTTTTGGATCCTACTTCACCGGCGAGTGCATTCACGGTACCGGTGGTATTGAGATGCAAGGTTAAATGATGATGCCTAATGACGACAAACGTTCATGTCTTGAGATTTCGTGGTAATGACCTATCTTAATGAAATCATATTTCTTCCATATCTCGTGCAGAGCTTATGTGCTGCGAATGTTGATGCTGCTGCATGTTCATGTCGCCCGCTGATGCTAGTAGAACTGCCTTCATAGTCGACGTTACCAGCTAAATAAGGAATCTTTGCAAAACTGCCCTTGGCTGATAGTGAAGCGTAGTCGTCAAATACAGTCTTTTCGTCGACTGTTGGGTGAAAGACTGGTTAATAAAGCGTCGCTGTCGGCTCAAACGGTACCTTGCCAGCAGCTTTGAGTTCTCGGTGAAGTTTTTGCTACACATACACGACAAGACATCGCCAGAATTGCCACAACCGAAATATCTGCTGCTGTGTACCAGTACTTGGCAGACATATTGGGTGGGTTGATGGCGAAAGTGAGCGCTGTGCCTGATTTGGAAATGGAGCCGGCGACGATCGTATCTTTTCCAGGCGTAGAAATAAAAGTCGATGGCAGAACCGCCGGCACTCTGGCCGAACAAGGTAATGCGGTTCAGATCACCACTAAAGCCTCTAGTGTTGTCGCGTACCCATTCGACAGCCATACGATGATCGAACAACCCGACATTTTGAGTTCCGCCTGGCGCGCCAGGATAGCCGAGAATTTTGATTCGCTGGTTGATAGTGACAACAATGATATATTCTCGTTCGCAAGGTATTGGCCTTGATAAAATAAGCTGTGGGTGCCAGGGATAATGTATCGTCCACCATGCATCCATAGCAGTACCGCTTTTGGTTGGTTGTGCGCCGTGAATTTGGTCCAGATGTTGAGAGTCAAGCATTCTCCGCTCTGGGGGTTGCCTGTCTGGTCGAAAAGGTTCATGTAGACGCGACGACAGGTCACGGTCAAGCCAGTCGAAAGCGGGGCAATGTTTGCAAACCAGTCTGGCGAGAAAGATGAAGCATTGAGTGTGTTGATTGAGCTGTACTCCTGAGGTTCAACGGAGCAGAGATGGCCAAGTGGAGGCTGAGCATAAGGTATACCTAGATACTCGGAGACCTGGGATCAATTACTAGGTCATGTCCGACGATCACAGGGGAGGAGGTAAAGATGTCGGTAAGCAGCAAGCGCAGTTCTTGTCCTATCAAACCTACCAGTGATGTCCAGATCGCCCGAGCATGCATTGGATACGCTATACATGGTCGTCACCCAAGAACGTGTTTCGAATGCGAAAGAATCGTGATCAGGGTCAGAGACGTCTATCGCTGCGCGTCTCGACTCAAGCACTCGACGTTTGATTGACCTTCCAAAGCCAGCCACGAAGAGGTCAAGACACTGCTATACTCTTGTAGTGGTTCGCCGCAATCGACTGTGTCTCCTTCCAGATCTCGTTGTGAGTCTGAGTTCAAATCGCGCGTCGCGCCTGTTGAAGGCGGACACACTCGACAGCGAAGAATACACGTCAGAGGCATATGCCAACGATGGACTATGAGGTTTTTCCTTCTCTTTCGCGATGAACCATGATCTTGGGCGCAGGGTGGGCCTTCGCTGGTCAAGGTGTATTGACTCGAGAGTCACAACGTAATCCGAGCATTTGTGCCGACGTCTTGATGTCACGCGTGGGATTTGATTCTTGTCGGAGAAAAAGGTGATCGGGATTTCAAAGCATGTCTGCTTGTCGTCTTCGTTGGCGAGAAGCTCGAGTGATCCGTTTTCTTCCTTCGCGGTCCTGCACAGAGGAACACGCGAGACGGAGAAACATCGGCTCGCGGGCAGAAGGAGTGTTGGAGAGCTTCGTATGCCTTCCAGGGATCACAGACGGGACACCGTCTCAAGTCACGGACATGGCCTACTGTCAGTCGAGTCCGGCGTTCCGAGTGGCCACATTGTCGATGGTTGAAAGTCGCGCTGCGCTACTGAGAGTACTTTTGATCGTTACAGTCGTTATCTATCACTCATCTATACAGTCGCTCTCGCTCTGATCTCGAACCCTTTCGATCCTTCATATCCTACAAATATCGTTCCGCTATCCGATCTTTCCATATCCATCCGCGTACTCGATCCGCTTCGCAGTGGGAAATCATACTTGGCTTCCTCATCCTCAGTAAAGCCCATGCCTGTCCATGTTATGACAGGTCGTCGAATGCGCGCTTGTGGCACTGTCGCTGGCAGAGCCGCAGGCACCGGCATCAGGACAACTTGTCCACTGTCGCCCTTGGAAGAGGAGGAGCGGCGGATCCTGTACACCAGAGGTTGCAGCAACGGCACCGATGCCGCGATAGTCCCCACGCTCATCTCCATGAAGCTCCAGAAAAAGTACGTGTCCTTGTAATACTTGTCCGTGGCATCGAAGTAGTTCCACATGGCCCAAGTCTTGATCGCTCCACACACGACCGCCAACCAACCCAGGCTCAGTGCGACGACGAGTGAGATCTTCTTAAATGTCGACACCTTCATCCTGAGGACGATGGGCATGGGCCAAACAGCAAGGATACTGTCTGTCACCATGTTTGTCAGGCTGTTCCACATTGCAAGTCCCTTCCACACCTTGAGCGAAATCATCTTTGCATTCTTCTGCTCATCGAAATGCCAATTTGCTCGCAAAGGAATGCAGGACCAGAAGAGTGTCGACGCATACACAAGGGAGACGATGGAAACGAAACCTGCGTCAGTCAGTCGCAGATCACAAGCTGTTGAATTACGTCCTCGACTTACCAATNNTAGACCGTACAAAGCCAATCGACCTCTCCGACTCCGACCGACGCGAATGAGAAAAAAGGCAACGCTGCATTTGAATGTGCCAACACCGAGCGTGAGAAAGAGCTGATGCGGAAACGTCCACAACAAGAAAAGTTCGTATTGTGGTATCGTGACGGTGACCATATGCCGACCAAGAACTCCAGATTTGGACTCGCCGATGAAGCAGATCCAGCACCCGAGGACAAAAAGAGCAGTGACGAAGATCAAGAGGTCCTCCCAACCCAGGCGTCGTACCATGAACGCGCGAGCATATAGGCGAAGTGATACAATGAGAATGGAGAGAAAGCAAAAGAAGCCAGTCGCGCCGAGTATTCTTGAGGACATGTCTTGTTCCAGATATTCCTTGCTATGCATCGAGACGTCGCGAGACAGGAAGAATCCCTTCAGGCCGTCCATATTGCTAGGCAATGACAGTATCAGACATCAAAAAGTGTTCAAGACTAGCTGTATGTCCTTGGATGTCAAGACAAATTTGCAGTCAGGATGGAAAGATTGTTGTGCGAATCCTGCTGTCTCGATTGAAAGGACAGAAAAGAGGTCGTATGACAGGTTGAGCCTCGAGGTGTCTGGGGCCAGCTATAAGTGTTTGGTAGGACCGCAAACGGGACCCCAGAGCCTGATCCAAGGGTGACAAGGGTAGGTATGTGGCTTCAGCCACGTTCGCATCTACTAACTTCTCAGAACCGAGTATCCAGTGGTATTGCTGATGTCAGGCAACGGTAGACAAGACAGCAAAGGGTGAAATATCGTTCTTGCCGTGAACCGAACAGGTAACAAGCGAAGAACTTTCGAATTCAGTCGGCAAAGAAGGGCTGGACACGCGATGAGAAGCGCAATTCGACACATGGCATGCAGAAAGAGCCGAGGCCATGCTCGTCTTTGAGGGAAACATTAGATTCAATGAGAGAAGTCGCGAAGGATTTGAGACACGATAGACGAATTGAGAGATGCGACTGACTATTGGAGAGCCGCCATCTAACCGTCTCTTGGCTTGATAACAGCTCATACCGAGCAAACACGGAGGGGATACCATCCCGCTTCAGGACTTTGGACTTGGACAAACTCCAATCATTTCCGCCGTCGTCCTTGATCCATAGTCTTGAATACGATTACTGCAACTGCGACCAGGTCTCTTCCATTGCATTGAGAATATAGAGGTCAGTGCTGGCCGAAGCAGGTTGAGTGAGACCGCGTTTGTGAAAGACTAGAGGACGTTGACAACGGTTCGAACAAGTTCGGCCGCAAGAAACGTCGCCATATGCCGAGTCCAGACAGCGTTGAAAATTCTGTAGTGCAAGGTAGACATACCGGAGCGTATTATGCTAAATTCAGACATGTTTGATGGTCTTGATCAAGTAAAGAATGTGAATGTCTTCCAAGGAAGCGATATCAGATTGGAAGGAAGTGTATTCAAAACGAGCTGACCAAAGACAGAACGCTCGTACGCGTGCTCGGCATTCGGCGCAACACAGCCGAGCTGTTGAAGTTCATGGCTCAAGAAGGAAAAAGATATGCGTGTTGCGCAGCGAAACTTCAAAACATGCCATCTCGCACCGCTCCGGATCTTCGAGTTCTGAGGAAAGTTCGAAACTTCGATTTTGTCCTTCCTTCAGTGACATATCCCTGCAGGAACCATATCGGGAAGGACGTTCTACTTGAGTCTGAGGAATTCAAAGGTTGGCGTGAGGACGACCCTGCTTGCCTTTTTGATGACCTAGAAAACATGTGATTGGGCTAGTATTTACCGTCAGCATGAGTAATTCACAAAAGTTTCTGGTACTCCCAATGATGAGTGTGTAAGTCGGCGTCCTTAGTAGTTGGTTGCTTGTCAAGATAGTAGAAAGAATTATGGTTCGAGGTGCAAAGCTGATTTCAAGACAACAGCTGATACTGTGCGTCAAACTCCAACAAATAACCCATAGTTTTCTTGTGCATAGGAAACATCGACTTCACAAACGTTACAGATATTGCACAAGCGAAACTCACTGTTTCATGCTCACTGCTAAGAACATCTGTAGCATTGATGCTTCAACGTAACTTTGACAGTGGTGACTGATTCTGTTCGAACGGGATTGGATTTTGCCAACAACCATTACAAGTTGCGAACGTGATCTAAAAACTTTAACGACCAACAGTCCATATATCCCTCATCGCAGCTGAAGTCATACCTGTCGGCAGGCGGTATATTCCTTCTTTTCTTTGCAGAAAGAACTTAAGAACACTTCCGAAAGAACCAGAAACTCGGACCTACCTGTCAAACAAGCTACAGCCAAGCGGTCACCGGGTAAAGTCGACTTTTTGTGGAGGCGCGGGTCATAGATGCGGGTGGTGGAGAGCTCTCCTCATGACGAATGCCACTCCAACAACATGATTGGCTCGCCATGAGCTATCCCGACTCCGACTACCGCATCTCTTGGAGGGTAAACCTGCGGCTGAAGGTGGAAAAAACTATCCATGACATAAGCAACGGTCTTCTTGCCGCAGATGATCTTTTTCGCAAGACTTATATTCTCTGCGAATCTCGCGCCGTTCGCTGCTTGATTATTACAGACAAACAGAATCATCATGGGTCTTCAAGCTTCATTCACCGACAAACTCGCCCTCGGCGAAGCAAAGAGAGGGGAGAACAAGCGCAGAGTCATTGTCACTGGTGGCAGTGGCAAGCTCGGTCGCTCAACAGTCAGATACCTTGCTGATGAGGGATGGGAGGTCATCTCGGTTGACACCCGTCGTCCTCCTGGTATCAGCGAAGATGGAAAGTCAGGTCTCGGTGGTGCATACCGCCTCGTTGAGATCGACCTGGAAGACATGGGAGCTGTGTTGGAGACATTCCTTACAACCGTGAGTTTTCAGCGCCGAAGTCTCGTTATCGACAAAGCTGACACGCTCCAGGACATGGCATACAGTGGTATTGACGCCGTCGTCCATCTCGCGGCTATTCCCTCTCCCGGTCAGACCAACAGCTCCAGACAATTCCGTACCAACACAATGAGCACATACAACGTCCTGGAGGCTTGCCGCAAGCTCAAAATCAAGAACATTGTCCTTGCATCTTCAGAAACACTGATCGGTATCCCCTTCGACCCCCACCAGCCTGAATCGCTACCCATCACGGAAGAGCACGAGAGAAAGCCAGAGTCGGCATACTCATTGTCCAAGTTGGTTGGTGAAACATTGGCCGAGCAATACGCCAGATGGGACCCTGAAGCCAAGATCATCTCGCTAAGATTCAGCAACGTCATGTTGCCGGAGGAGTACAAGACCTTTGAATCCTGGCAAGACGACCCGATGAAGCGTTACTGGAACTGCTGGGGATACATTGACGCGAGAGACGGTGGTCAGGCTGTTTCCAAGTCGTTGGACAGCAAGACCAAGGGTCATCATCAATACCTGATTGCTGCCGAGGACACTTGCATGAGACAGTCCAATGACGAGCTTGTCAAGAAGGCCTTCCCTGGTGTCAAGTACAACGCTACTTCCGGACCCAACGATACCCTGCTCTCGATCGAGAAAGCAAAGAAGGAGATCGGTTTCAAGCCGGCGTACAAGTGGCAGGACCAGCTGTAGATATGTAACATTATGATGGAACTTTTGCCGACGGAAAGCATTACCGAGTTGATCTTCTATGGAGTCGGCCACGTCCCGGCATGTCAAATTTCTAGGGGCAATCTATCGTTTGGTAAGTAATTGCAAGCGGAGATGAATATAGCTCACTATTCAATCTTCCATCACTATCAAGCAGCTCATAGTGTCCAAGTCTTTCGAAAGTGTTATGACCCGGAGCATCTCACGTTGAGGCTCGAAGGATGAACCGTTGATGCGATCCGCACTCAACAGCTATAGCTACTCAAGATGTCATTCCTATTCGGCAGCCGCAGCACTCGAAAGGTCCATTTACGCGACTTGATATGACGCTCAGGGACACCGTTGAGTGCTGGAGGGGTGGACTCCGAGGATCTGCATTGCAGGAGGAGTCCATTCTTCGATCAGCCCGCCATCCTCAGCAAATGTGCGACTTTCCGCGGAACAAACCAATGGACAACACACAGGTCTCGCAAAGGGACATCCTTCAGCGCAACATGCATTGAATGCTTTAGGAATGTCGCCCATCGCAGAAAGCATGATTGCCGTGAGAGAGCTTATTTCCGCCAAATCGCGGGCACTGGCGGCGCATTCAAGCCACCAGAGCGCCTCCATCGTACGCCAAGTTTCCTCCATTTGCTTGTGTGTGCTTGAACGAGCTATCTGATAGTTCGCCCTCTGATTAAGCTTCTTGAAGTCGTCAAATCGGCTTGGCTGGGCCGCGCTGCCGAAGGGGTTGCACCTGGTTCTCGGGACGGTCGTCAGACTTCAGGTTCAGCTTCTGCGGCACCGCTCCTCAGGTGTCTCAGGGCAGCGCCTCTGACTTCATACAACCACAGGATACACCACCGTACTCTGAATCCGATCCGGCGGAGCTTTTGGCCGTACACCGGGAAGTACTGTTGAATGTAGAATACGGACAACCTCCAACTCGGCGGTCGTACATGGAAACTCAAAAGATGCCTCGACATAGGCATTGCGCCGTGAAAAGAACCGACTTGTTACATCACATCATCACGAATGAGAAGACGTGGAGCATCTCCCAGTATTTATCGGCTATTTGTGTAATACATGTTCGTCGCTCACAGGGTCTTGCCCGCGACTGATGGCTGATCATTGATGGACATGATGTTCTAGAGGAATTCAGGAGGTCCAGGTCTAGGTTGCGGAATGAAGGTCCTGGCGAGCATCGGTCGTACAGCTCATGACTCAACCTCACCTGAATCGCCAAGAGTTGATTACAAAAAGTCCAGCCGCCCTCTCCTACAATACACGAGAAGGGATTTCCGAATGTCTCGTCATTCGAGATAGACTCTCGGCCGAGCTCCTGGGAAGCATGAACAAGCCTCCAAAGCCAAAATATAAGCAGATCTACACTATTGTAATCCCTAAAAGGTCATCACACTGGCAGACTGACTTTGTGGACAACAATCCTGAGGGATTGGATATGATGCTATACCACAGGCCGGCCTGGTTATCCGGGTCGAGTAGAGAGTCTCGAGAATATAAATAGCAGATGAATCCTCGTCCTCACTCAACTCATCATCAGCAAGAACAGCATCCTCATCTAAGACAGTCTCCATCCTCACAGTCTCACCTCTCTCCATCATCTCTTGATCGAGTCGAAGTCGAAGATGCCTTCCATCAACAAGACCATCCTCATCCTGGCCGCCCTCCAGGCTTTTACTGCTATCGCAGCTCCCATTCCTCAGCTCGCTGGTGAAGGCTCCGCTTGCAACTCTCTTCTGAGCAGCACCGACAATGGTGTTGGCTACGGTGTCGAGAACGCCGAGGGTATGTGATTATCCGTCCAGACATCAAGAACGATACTGATCTCCATCCCANCAGACAACATTGCCTCCTCCATCAGCAAAGTAGGCCGTCGCCAATTGGCTGGTGAAGGCGCTGCCTGCGACTCTATCCTCAGCAGCACTGACAATGGTGTTGGATATGGTGTCGAGAATGCCGAAGACAACACTGCTGCCCTACTTGGCGGAACCACTTCCAGCACCACTACTGGCTCAGGAAGCGGTGCTGCTGCTCCCGCACCTGCACCTGCACCTGCACCTGCACCTGCACCTGCGCCTAAGAAGGGACCCAAGGCCAAGCGTCAAGGCGATAAGATTGCCAACGGTCTCGCCGATGTCCTCAGTGCTGCCCAACTGGGCCAAGTCGCTGATGTCGAGAAGAATGTTGGTGACAATGCCGACAGTGAGCTCACCAGCGGTGTCGCCAACCTCGGCGCTGAATTCGGTAGTGCCGAAGAGTCTACCCTCGAGGGTGCTGGCAAGGCTATCCCCAAGGTCAAGCGCCAAGGAGATAAGATCGCCAATGGTCTTGCCAACATCATCTCCGCTACTGGTCAGAACGACCTCGCAGAGATTGAGAAGAGCAATGGTGACACCCTTGATGGTCAACTCACCAGTGATGCTGCCAACCTCGGCGCCCAGGTTGGTGCCTACGAGGAGAAGACTCTTGAAAACGCTGGCAAGATGATTCCCAAGTGATGGGTTGGGGACTGTGAGGACTGATGAGACTGTGAGAATATGGAGACTGGACTGTATGATATAATTGTTGAAAAGTGGAGTGTTCAGCGATGAGAGAGCAAGGTGTTGGATTCCGTTTTATCTCTTCTAATGTATGATATATTTATGACCAAACTGATCGGAAATGATTATTCTTCTACTTGGCTTATTTGTCACACCCTGTCTTTCAACACGTCTGATGGTGATTGATAATATCAAGTACAGGGTCTAATCCATTTCCGGTCATCCTGCCTGAATATCTCCATGACATCTGGCACGTTGTTCTCGATCGTTTGTAGATCCATGATCTTCCCATTGAATCGGCGGACCCTTCGACGTCATGGTCCAACGACATAGCATTGATAACTTACGGTTTGAGATGGGTGTATCATGACCATTCCCGAACACTGCACTGAGATCTTACCAAGCATGAGGGTGTCGAGACCTAAGGCCGAAAACATGCCCTGTATCTATCTAGTCATTGTGCACAAGGAACAACAGATATGACAAGCAGTGACGACATCTTGACCCGATCATCAGCATCACGGCATCCTGCTTGATGGGCTGAAGACCTCATGGGAGAACGATCCGCAATTTGGAGTGGATTTTCTCCAGTCTCGGATCCTGGCTTCTGACCAAGGGCACACGTGGGAGACTGTTGCGGAATATCTGTGAGTGATATTCGAAGAAGCTATACCCTCTAAAGAAGGCCGAAAAGCAGGCCAAGACTCCCAAGACTAGCCAAGGCCGACTTGCATATATTCCATGCCGCTTTTCTTTCCATGTTCAACTTTACGTCCAATTGTGTGCAGGACATCTGACACGAGCTTTGCACATCTGCCGAACATGGAAAGGCATGTTCCCAATATCTCGAGTGCAAATGGATGTACCTATCGTGGCTTACGACCCTTCAGCGATCTGCTCTGGTCGTCCTGCAGCCTTCCTTCGGCAAGTATCCTACAAACTTGCTGCTCCGCGAGATGTGACAGGTATTGAGACATAAAAGCTGGCTCTCCCTTCATGACAATGGACTGTATAGTCGGTCCCATTCCCAGACCTGATCGGAATGTTCTCATCGCTTGTTACTGTCGCCTCTTTGGCGCTTGCAGCCACAGCTTCCTGGAATGGCAACATCAACTTCAACAGCCCGTCGCTACAGCACCGAGACTTGGGCCTTGACATAGCCAAGATTCAAAAACGTACTGGTCTTGTCGTGAGGCAGACGGCCAACTTCACGGACAGCCAGCTCAACTTTACCCATGGTGTAGCTTCTGGTGATCCATATCCCAATTCAGTCATCCTCTGGACCAGACTTGCCCCCAGTCTGGCCAGCGACCGATCCAACGTCACTGTCTCCGGAACTGTTGAGTTTTACAATCATGAAAATGAAGAGTATATCAGAGCCTCGAAGCACAGGGTCTGCACTCAGTGGCGTATCGCTAGCGATGCGAATCTCACTCGCGTGGTCGACCATGGTACCGCTTATACCACGTCTGACATTGATTTCACCGTCAAGGTTGAGGCGAAGAAGCTCCGTCCATTCACCACCTACTACTACCAATTCACCCAATGCGGTACCAGCAACCACTCTCCCCTCGGTCGCACCAAAACATCTCCATCTGCAGACCAGAAGATTGACAACATCGGGCTGGCTGTCTACTCTTGTTCAAACTTCCCGAACGGCTATTTCAACGCCTATGGCAATGCCGCTCGCAAAGACCGCGTTGATTATGTCATTCATTTGGGAGACTACATATACGAGTCGAGCGTTGGTGTACAGGGTCGTGATGCCAGAGCTACCAACCCCAGCCGTGCTCTCCTCACACTATACGATTACAGGACTCGCATTGCCCAGTACAGAACAGACGTCGACTTGTTGCTGTCTCATCAGAAGTTTGCTTGGATCGCAACCTGGGACGACCATGAGGTTGCCAACAATGGGTACCGCGACGGATTCAGCGCCATGAACAATACTGAAGACTCCTTCGTTCGCTCGGGTGGTGTCAGTGTTGACCAACGCAAGATGAATGCTGTTCGTGCCTACTTTGAGTGGATGCCCATCCGTCGGGTAAACATGGATGACAACCTTCGAATCTGGAGAAACTTCCAGATGGGAACCCTTCTTGATCTGACCATGCTTGACACGCGCAACTATGACCGTTCAATCACCGACCTGAGTAAGTTTATGATGTATTCCTTTACCCGACAGCACACTGACCGAAGCANNGATTGGAACACTGACTACATTTACGACATTCACAATGACGCCGGACGCTCGCTCATGGGCTCTCAGCAAGAGAACTGGTTCTACAAGACTCTCATTTCCAGCAAGAAGCGCGGCGCGGCCTGGCGAATCATTGGTAACCAGATCGTCTTCAGCCGTGTCAACATAACATCCTGGTTCGGCACATTCGAAAACCCTTACAACGAAGACCAGTGGGATGGCTACCAAGCGAATCGCAACCGAACCTTCCAAACTCTCTACGACCACGATATCGGAAATAACATCATGCTTGCGGGTGACTCTCATGCCAACTGGGTTTCTGACTTGGTCTGGTTGGATGAGCATCCCTATGACTCTGCCACAGGCGAAGGTGCCATCGGTGTGGAATTTGCTGGCACCGCAGTCACGTCCTCTGGCTTCGGCGGCACTATTCGGTCTGCCAACAACCAGTCTTCCACGCTCGTCCGTGATAATTCCGAATTGCAATGGAACGAGGGTTATTACAGAGGTTACTTTGAGCTACAGGTCGGATACGATGCTGTCCATGCCTCGTACTATGGCATGCCGACGGTCGCAAGCCAGAATCCCTTGGAGATCAGCTTGGCCAACTTCAGTGTTCTCAATGGCGGGAACAAACTTCAACGTCCTGTAGCTGGAGGATATGTGGAGAGTGGATATATCAAGACAGGTCAGGTGCAGATGACCAATCTGACGTACAACACACAGAACCAGTCGTGGGCGGTCAGAGACGACTTCAATCAGATGTTCATCTCGTACCCGCGTACGACTTGATTCTAGGTCTTGTGGGGAATTTGGTGAGAACGATCCAGTAGGGCAATGTTTCGTCTTCCAAGGAATGGAACAACGATCATAATATCTTCACAAGCTTTCTCAGAAATGTGTTTGCTGTGTTATATCATGGATGATGACACCGGGTCTCGCGAGAATCCGAAGAGTAATTCTTCTTGAGTATTCCATGCTCGGAATATGATGGATCGATAGCGCAATCTACTGTCAGCTGTTCACAAAGTCTTTACCCAGGATCCTCCCACAGTGGAGATTCGCAAAGATGAGTATAGGATAGGCAAATGCTGCAGGCAAAGCACGTCGTGTTTGCCAACGTGAGAACAGGCAAATCTCTTGCGGAGAAAAGGAGGGGTTGATGGACCGCCAAGCAAAAGAGTTGTCCTGGTATGAAGTCTAGAGCGGCTTATACCAATCGCTTATACCAATGCTGAAACGCCAAGCAAAGTCGGAATCTTACGACAGGTCTTGGTGTTGAGATTAGCCTATACAGGTTATGAGAAGCATCTATTTGACACTAAATATGCGTTTGTGGCATCGATCGTTTGTCTCAGGAATAGGCGACGTGCGGAGCTCGGACATTGTAAGATGATCATATAAGAAGCATTCAACTTCCACGATAGGTGTCTGCTGTTCCAGAGCATATCACCACAGTCCAGACCATCGAGATGTATTTCTCTTCTTTCCTCCCTGCTTTCCTGGCCTTCAGCGGTATAGTCACCGCATCGGCAATTCCCTCTCCCTTCCTCGAGTCTAGACAAAGCAGCCCAGCAGCCGGTGTCGTCTACTCCAAGTGCAGCAAGCCTGGCGTCTTCGCTCTAGCCTTTGACGATGGACCTGGCCAATACACGGAGGAACTGATCAAGACCCTGAACGCTGCAGGAGCAAAGGCCACTTTCTTCTTCACGGGAACTCTGTACGGCTGCATCTACAATCGCGCGGCCGCTGTCAAGGCAGCCTACTCCAGCGGCCACCAAGTCGCATCGCACACCTGGACCCATCCTCAAACGCTCGATTCGATGAGTGTTTCTCAACTCACCATCGAAATGCGGAAGCTCGAGACTGCACTGGTCAACATCATCGGTGTCAAGCCCACTTACATGCGACCTCCTTACCTCAAGACCGGCGGCAATGTGCCCACTGCCATGAGAAACCTTGGATACAGGATGATCACCGACAGCGTAGACTCGCAAGACTGGAACGGTCTTTCTGTTTCGGCGAGCGAGCAAAAGTTCCGTAGTGCAGGTCCCAGCACTCCTGATGGCAAGGGACATATCTCTCTGTTGCATGAGACTTATGCAAATACAGTCAGAGACTTGGTGCCAAGATTGATCAAGTGGGCCAAGGAGAATAACCTGAAGATGGTCACTGTTGGTATGTTGTCCGGGATCGATTTCATGAGAGAGTCATACTAACTTTGTTTTGCAGCGGAGTGTCTCGGCGACGCAAATGGTGCCTACGCCAAGGGCAATGGTGGTGGTGCTCAGACGTGTTGATGAGTGCGTTGCCATCCATCATGGCATATCCTGACTAGTCATCTGTCTTATGCTCTTGCACTGATCTTTCTGTAATCTAGTAACATTTTTGTCTTCATCTTTCGTCGCTATCATCGTCGATAACACGCATGTTCAAGGAATTTCCCCTTTGCTTGTAAGGACATCTCAGCTCAAAACTCCGAGATCGTAGCACAACATTACTCTTAAACCAATGATTGTCAAAGTACATACGCGCGTCTGACACCTTCCTGAGCAATCACTTGCGCATCTCGGGGTCCATTCTCCCAACAATGTTCGAATTTTCTCTGTTGTAATATTCGAGCCAGTGATCTCAAGGACAGCGTTGAGGTCCCACTCTCCTATAAGATTCTACTGCGTCATCTCGCCAGAGAATCAATGTAGTCACGACGATGTGGACAGTAGGTACTTCACTTACCCTGCTGTTCCCCAAATCACCTCGCTGGCTCATTCATCACGGTCACAGTGAGGAAAGATTGAGGGTACTTGCCAACTTGCACGCTTCCGGGAACGACCAAGACGCTTTCGTGCAAGGAGAATACGACGCCATCACCACTGCTGTAGAGTACGGGAAAGAGCATGCTGCAGAGTCGTATACCGAATTGTTGAAGCCGAGATTTAGTTTCCGTCGCCTGATCACTGCTCTATTCCTAAAAGCCTCTATTCAGATGAGCGGTATCTCAGCCATCCAGTACTACTCTCCAGACATATAAGGACAGGTTGGCTTCAATGGCAGTGACTCATTCATGTAACAAGTAATCAATGCTATCGTCGCTCTGGTAGCTCAAATTCTGCTTCATGCTTTTTATGTTGACCGCGTTGGTCGCGGCAATCTGCTGAACACGATCACCTTCATCATCGCAAACTGCCCTACTCGCATCTTATGCTCCTGAAACCTCAACCCAACAAGTCTGCTCAAGAAGCCTTCATCGCAAATGACCTGGCTCTTCCACTTTTCCTACTCCATCGCTTGCAGGCCTCTCTATCCTGGATCATTCCCAGCCGAAATTTTCGACACCCTATATAAGAACCAAAGGTGTTTCGCCAGCAACAGCATGCTCATTCGCCTTTTCAAACACCATGATCGGTCAAGTTTCCAGCCAATCGCCCTGGAAAAAGATGGGATAGGACATTCTTTTTCGTCGTGTGTCTTGAGGTACAAACGCGCTTTGGTTCTGGGTCACCCTTGCAGAGACGGGCAAAGAGACCTTTGGAAGACATGGGTCCTTTGTTCCAAAAGATGGCTTGGTTTGTGCCTGGCAAGTCGAGAATCTCCTTGCAGCAGCTTTGGGGTGATGAGTGGAAGGGAAGTGCAGGAGAGATGGGTAAGGTTGCGGAGAAGGGGATGAAGATTGAAGAGGCAGATGATTGTTTTTACACTATTACTGTGAGGGAAGTTTCAGTGTACCCTTCGACTATGATGTTCGAGCGATAAGAATGCTTTCCTCATCACAAACGCCTGTAACGACTCTCTAGACATTGGGAGCACTAGGAAGCATGATTCAAACTAGGGCAACATCCCTTCTCAAGAGATCCAATGTCTACAAAAGAGAGCAAGCAAGAGTAGATAGGTCAGTAAGATCCAAGTTCAAGCTTCGTTCCCAACTTCTCGTATCTTGCAGCATAAATCAAAGCATCAATTCGATCTGAGGTGAAAAATCCAATCAACGATTTATGGACTTCCTACCTTATCATCACTCTTGTCGATACTTGGCCGCAATTGACCGGCAGACAAATGCAGTCTGGATGACGATCATCGTTGTGCAAGTATGAATGCAATTTCGAGGTTCTTGGAGCTCCACGTATCAATTCCATCACCCACGGCCATGAAGTGGTGATTCTGCCCATACAGGCTTCTGACCATATACTCGACCGCATAGCTACCGTTTCCAGGAGCGTGACATGGCGGTCTATGGAAGGTCGAATACCGGATCTCCTCTGCTTACAATATCAGACTACTACAATGCAAAGCTCAATGATGTGTGCTCATATCCAAGAACCTGGATCTGGAGCTCCCCGGTTCTCTTTTCAACAATTTGTTTCCACGCTCTAAGCACGTCGAGATGAGGCCTCGTACATGGTAGTAGACCGACTATGCCAGACCACTTTATGAGTTGACCTCCCATCAGATGTAAACTTACAGATGCATCCCGTCTCTGCCTCCGCATTGCCAACATTGATTCCGAGATCGCGCAGATTTGGCATCCTGATCAGCGCCTGCACAACGGCCAGATTTATATCATCAAGGATATCGCGGTTGACAGCTGTCCTGAATGAGCGACGCGGAAAATGCATTCTCGCGGGCCATTGAGTCTCGTTCTTATACCCTCCCATGGATACTTCGTCTTCATATGCGTGTTCATAGTCGGGCTCGACATCGCTGGCTTCTAAATCCGGTCCTAACACCCAGTCGCCGGAAGGGGTACAAGGGTCGAGATCGATGTATAGCGTTTGTAATCGAGGCCATGAGGTTGCAGAGTCAGTCATGTCGAAGATGTCGTCACTTAACACAGCTCTGATCTCGAGAAACTGTAACTGTCTGGATATCGTGTTCAAACGAAGACTCAAAAGGTCTTTGCCGATGATCAAGGGAATAGCGGGGGAACTAAACAGTTGATTTGCTGGGACAACTCCTGGATAGTTCATCTTGAGTATTCGCATTCCCTCGGGCAGAGCAGTCAAACTATTCGCAAATTCTGTCTCCTCTGTTAGACATGATGCAACATTGCTGTTGCATACAACAACTTACCTGAGCGTTTAGCGTTGCGAAGCCCCAGATCTTTACTCTCCTGATCGGACAACTCGATTTCGACACTCTCAACGTTAGGACAAGCTTTTATGATACGGGTTCGCTGTGGTATGAGTCGTGCAATCCGGATAGAAAATCTGGTCATTACAAGCGTGCCTCGTTTCGATATCAATCAAAACGTCGGCCACTCGACAGCATGACAGCCAGGACCGAGATATGGTGGCATATCGAGCTATGCGTAGTTCAGCTTGTTTTAGCTGGGTTGCGATAAGCATCAGGATGTCGATATCTAAGTCTTTGAATGACATGGCAGACTGCCTCCAGCGTGGCACGCCAAGCCAATGTCGAGGAAGTGGATTGATGTGCAGTGTAGAAGGTACCTTAACGCGACGACATTGCGAGTGAAGAGGAGAAATCGAACGGCATTATGAAGCGAGAAAGGCAAGTCGTCGTTTCGGAAGTGGTTTCTGAGGTATCCGCCTGAGGGCCATGGAGCAGGAAATGAGTATGGAAGGCACGACCTACACACTACAATGCGCTCGAGTGATACACGATAGGATTAGAATACACGCAATCGCCCCAGAAGTCTACGCAACGGAGAGCAAGAGCCACTCGATTTAGCATGCTGGGCAGTGGCAAGAGTTACGAGGATGTACTCGTAGACGACTGAGCGCGACTGCTGCTTTTGAGGCGCAATTCGCGGCGCCAAGGCTTGAGCAGCAATCACATGCGCCTTGCCGTACGGCGACCTGGCAATCTACATTAATCCTACACTGCGCTCCTTTCTAACGACGGTCGAGAAGGAGAGAAACACAATCAACCATGAAGAAGCTACGCTCGAGTATCCTCAAGAGAACACACAGTGAGCGCAGCTCCACCTGTACCAGATCTGTCGTGACGCAATGTTTACTGACCTAAACGGCCAGGCAGCGATGCTGCCTCTCACCCAAACACACCGCCGCACGTCGATTCTCCCGAGGCCAATGCCACCCACGCTATCNGTGAGTCCTGCCACCCTCTCGACCCAAAACTCCATCACTAAGACATCATCCAGCGCTTGTTCTGCGAGGCCCCCAGCGACAACAGCGTAAGCTCTACCTCCTCGACCCACCCCACCGCCTGCCTTCGCTGAACACATTCCAGGNGAGAAGAGGTGCTGCATCTACCCGTCATTGTCGAAGCCGCCGAATCGTCACCGCAAGCTGCCGCCGCCGCAGCCTACCAGATCCGCAAATGCCTTTCCAAAGACAACAAGTCGCGAGTCCAATACAATGCCATCATGTTGATTCGCATCCTGGCCGACAATCCCGGCCAGTCATTCACCCGCAACTTCGACGCCAAGTTCGTCTCTACCGTCAAGGACCTGGTCAAGAATGGAAAGGATCCGAGCGTGCAGCAGATGATGAGGGAAACGCTGGACTCGTTGGAAGCAGAAAAGAGCTATGACAATGGACTGTACGACTTGCTGGCCATGTGGCGCCAACTCAAGGGCCACCAAGCTCGCATTCTCCCACAGGGCGCATACCGTCAGATTGCCCCTCCGCTGCCACAGCACCCAAACACACAAGGCCAACCAGGAGGCGCCCTGCCCACACAACAAGAACTCGCCTCGCGTGTCGAAGAAGCACGGAACACTGCTAAGATCTTGCTCCAGCTGCTTCAGAGCACTCCGCCTGAACACATCATGAGCAATGAACTGATCAAGGAATTCTCGGACCGCTGTCAGGCCGCCCAGCGCAGCATGCAGGAATACATCAACTGCACATCTCCTCCACCCGACGACGATACCCTCCAGACTCTGATCGAGACGAACGAGCAGCTGAGTCTGGCAATCAGTAGACATCAGCGCGCTGTTCTCCAAGCCCGACGAGCCCTCGGCCAATCAGTCTCTCCTGCAATCGGCAACAACAATCCCTTCGCTTCTCCGCCTCCTCAGCCCGAGTCTGCCCTACAACAACAACCAACTTCTCACCTAATCGACCCCCAAAGCACATACTCGCCCGTCTCTCCCATCAACGACTCATTCTCAGCTCCACCAGGACCACCACCAGGCCACCCTTCTGCGCCGACACTAGCTCCAAGCAATCCCTTTGCTGATCCTGCCGAGTCAACTCATAACCACAACCTGGATTACACAAACCACCCTCACGAACCACGTAACTATGGTCCTGGTGTCGACACCAACCCACGACCGGCATATGGTGGTGTTACGGAGAGCTACATGGGTCGCCAGTATAGTGCTGCCAACGGTCTCACCATGCACGGCGGTGTTGATACATCCACCACCGAAAACGTCAGCCCGGTCGAGCAGACACACACCCAGAGGGAGGTCCGATACAGGTATTGAGCGTCCTGGCAAAATCATACATTTGCAAACCCTTTCCTATCGAACGATTTGAGCATCGAGCGTTGTTTATGGGTTGACATGAAGTAATACATTGTATGCACAAGCTTTTCTTGACTTCTTCCTTTGGCTTTGTCTGAGACGTGAGACTGCCAACGAACTAGTAATCATGTTTCATCTTTCGCATAAGGGTTGGGTGGGTTAGTATATGAGGAGTGGGATGTGCGTAGGGAAGTGTGTTACTTTACATGTGTATCATGTTTGTCGCTGAAGGTGGGATCATATTCCTAACATCATCATCACTTTCTTCATCTCTTTGAGAACGTCACATCTTCCAAGACAGACTGCAATTCAAGTATGGTAGAAAGAGGAAAGAGAAAAAGAGAAACATTGATCCTCGTAATAATCTTAAATTCATCTATATTTCTATATGCAAAAGGACGGAAAAATGTCGAGTTGAATCGACGTGTGTGGTCGCAAGAAGAGCCCTCTATAACAACCAATCCAAGAATTTCTCCCACTTGGTCACTGGCTCTTTCTCCTTGACCGCACCTCTGGGATCGAATCGCCCAGACCACAGATCAATCTCGCTGGCCCTGGCGATACGCGTCCTCTTGACAATCTTCCACACCACATACGGAATGATATAAATCGCAATGCCAATGTAGGAAGCAAAAAAGGATCCAGTATCCCAGTTGCCCTTGAGGAAGACGCTAAAGCCAGAGAAGATTGTGATGATGCCGCTGCCGATGGCGCCGACGTAGGCGGCGAGGGGTTGCAGGCGTCCCTTCATGGGTAGAGCGTTGCGGTCGATATTTTGGGCTTTGCAGGCGTGGTGGTAGCGGATGTAGCAGATGCAGAGGGTCATCCAGGCGAGGAGGCCGGCGACGGTGCTGAGGTTGAGTAGCCAGGTGAAGGCTTGCGATGCACCGCCCGAGCCCAGGGAGAGGTAGGCGAGGGGACCGAAAGCAAAGGAAGCGAGGACGGCCCAGTAAGGTACACCTTGACGGTTAACCTTGGCGAAGAATTGCGGCATTTGGCGGTCTGCGGCCAGAGCGACGAGCATACGCGATCCAATGTAGCAGTAACTGTTTCCAGCAGACCATGCAGAGACCAGAATACAAGCGTTGACGATAGATGGTAGAACGGTGATTCCAGAGTTCTTAATGGCAATGACCCAAGGAGAAGAGTTTGCATTTCCAGAACCAGAAACGAGGTCGGGATCGTTGGAAGGAACAATCATTCCAATGAGGAGCGTGCCCAAGACGTAAAAGAAGAGAATACGGTAGGTGACACGGTGGACGGCCTTAGGGATAGCCTTGTGGGGGTTCATGGTCTCGGCAGCTGCGACAATGACAGTCTCGACACCAATGTAGGAGAAACTGGCGTTGATGAAAGCACTGAAGAATGCCAGGAAGTGACCAGTGTTTCCTTTAATGCCATTGTAATCAGTGAAAGGTCCTGGGTGCCTCCAATACCTAAAGCCAATAGATTCGTGGTCGGGTGCGCCTCCAGAGGTGATGACAATCGAGACAATGACCAGGCCCAAAAAGCACAAAATTTTGATGGATGCGGTGATGACTTCAGCCTCACCAAAGAAGCGAACGTTCATCAAGTTGATGGCCAAGATTGCAGCAAGACCAACTGTGATGACCACTGCAGGTGTAATGTCTGTCCAGTATGATACCACAACCGCTGCTGCAGAGACTTCCGAAGCAATAGCAATAGTGTAGCAGTATCCGTAAGAAATGGCCAGAGTGAATCCAAGAGCAGGGTCAACAAAGCGAGTAGCGAAATGAGGGAAAGATCCAGCAGTAGGGAACNNTATATCATGTTAGCAATGTGTCATCTGATGTTCGTATCTTTCTTCACCTACCAGTGTAGCAATCTCGCCAACAGATTCCATGACACACCACAGAATCAGACCAACCACAGAGTAGGCCAGCAAGAGACCGAGAGGTCCTGCAGAGGCCAAGGCACTTCCGGTTCCAACGAAAAGACCCGTTCCAATACCACCACCAAATCCGATGAAAGTGACATGTCGTGCTTTTAATCTACGATGCGTGTGACCAACACCACCAACACCATAGACAGCATCATGGTCTCCAGATCCAGAGACAAAAACCTCCTCCGAGTTGGTCTTGTAGACCGACTTGTCATCACCACCAGAGGGACCAGCAACATCTGCCCCGTGCTCGAAAGTCATGGCGATGGGAAAAAATCTGGGGAGTCTGGAGAACAGCTCCAATGAATGACTCAAGCTGTTTGTGTAAAGACTGTTTGAAAGAGCAGAGAAAATTGGTCGTTGGTCATAGAATCCTCTTTAAGCACTTTTGAAGAAAAATTTCTCTCGTCGTCTCTCAACGCCTGCCAGAGCACGCAATGTCATCACCAGATTTAGAGTTTCGCAAAAGCGTTTCCAGAACAAATTCGTCCTCCGGGGACAAAGCTTCTTTTGCTTCGCCGAGATCGGATCCTGTTCCGAGGAAAGCAGATAGCCTGAACTTTTCCCATGTCGTGTGGCTTGTTGCCTTTATTGGCTATGTCGAGATGATGCGACGTTATTCGCATGTAAATCTTGGTATACAGCACCAGCGGTCCGGTGTGACGACGAGATTGTTGAGCGAGCACGCAAGAGAGGTCATCCTTCTCTTGTTCGAGGCCTTCAGTCCCCGGAGAGCACCGATGAAAAACTGGAGAAGGCCTCATCTCAACCGATTCTTGGGTGATCCCGAGTCTGTGCGATTCGTGGTCTGGAGGCGAGATGTTGTCGCGCTTCTCAAACATGCTGCCCATGTCGCAGTCGAGAGTCGAGACGATGGAGGACAGTGATGTTAACCGCGCCTCCAGAGAATCTCAATCGTTTGTGTCGACGTGAAAGACCGGCTGAGTCTGAGAGCATCATAATCTCTCTGAACTCACGATTCGAGGGCAACAAGGGCATGACGCATCGAAAACCTGACAGAGACTCATCTTCAGGTATGCTTACGCAGACAGGACAACAACAAGTTCCTGAACATCGGCCTTTAGACAGATCAGAAAGTCATGTAAACAGATAGATTGTGATGTGAAAGAAGACTTGGGGTCGCTGATTGTATCGGTGGTATGCTGAATCAGCGTCTGTGCACGGCCACATCTTCCACCTTCCTCCTCGGGGTACAGTATACAGATAGCATGGATTCTCACCGCCAACATATCAGTTACAAAACTCACCCACCCGCACAGGAAGCTTATATGTTTGCCTATGTGACCCTTCTGCGGACTGGACACGCCACAGTATCAATTCATTGACCTTCGTCAAGACTTAGCGAGGCTCAACCCCTGAGGCTAGAGAAAATCATGTCTACCGCCCAAGATATCACAATCCCGCGTCCGGGAGCAGAAACCTCTGGATCTATAACCTCGATCCCAGGACCATCCGAAGACTCCTTCACCAGTACATTCGGACACCTGCTCCCTCCTGCCAACTACCTCTCAACCGCATACGGCAGGATCGCTTACTACACCTACATCCCCACCAACCAATCCACCACTTCTCCCTCCTCGCGTGTCCTTTTTCTTCACGGCGTGCAAACCCCAACATTGGGATTGCAACCCTTGGCTTCATCCCTACACACCTTATTTCCTTCTTCTACATTTGTGCTTTGCGATCTTTGGGGCCACGGACTTTCATCTACTCCTCTTGCGCCACATACGCCTTCTTTGTTCCACTCTCTCATTGACTCTCTACTCGAACATTTGACTTGGGAGTCTTGTCATCTGGTCGGCTATTCTTTTGGCGGCAGCACTGCAATCTCCTACATTGCTTCTTCCACCTCCAGAGCCAAGAAAATAACCAGTACATCACTCATCGCACCAGCAGGTCTCTGGCGGTCTGAATCCCTGGACGCGAGTAGATTAAACAGCACAGACTTTGCAATCGCAAAAGCGCACGTCTTGGATTTGCTGGAAGGTGGCNCCCTGGTAGTCCCAGAAGATTGGCAAGAGAGAATTGCCAATGGCCAAATCGTCGCCGAAAAAGTCAGAGAATGGCAGATGGAACACCATACCGCACACACAACTTCCGTGATCGCTATCGTCAGGGATGGAGGTGTTTTCGGACTCGAAGATATCTATGCAGCTGCGGTGAAGACGACCGTGCCTATGATTGCAGTGCTCGGAGAAACCGACGATGTGGTATACGAGAAGGATTTGCGGGCTGCGGGAATGAACAATGTGGTTGTGGTGCGGGGAGCTGGACATGCGGTTGTGCGTCAAAAAGTCCCCGAGGTCGCGCATCACATCGAGGGGTTTTGGAAAGCGCTGCGGTGATGAGCGAGAAGGTTTTGTCTTCGACGACGTAAAGATAGATAGAGTCAAAACACAGTCACTGAAGACATGGAAACGATAGAAAAAAGTAGAGGGGAAAGAATTGTTCAACATCTAAAGGGCAAAGACATAAAATCTACATAGAAACACCAGTATATGCGATCATCACAATGCTATGCTAACACTCAAAGCAAAAAAGCAACAACACCCATAACAACAGCTCCAAGTCCAGAAAGCACACCAGCCTGTGCAGCACCGCCAGTGTAAGGCACAACACTCGAACTCGGCGCCATAGTCTTAACGGCACCAGTAGCCCCAGCAGTACCAACACTAGTGCCATTGACAGCAATCAATGTAGGCTTGCCAGAGACAATAGCAGTAGAAGTGGCATACTCATATCCAACAACACCAATACATCTCGAGTTGAAGCAAGAGTTGTAGCTACACTGCGAAGAATCCGTGCAAGTGGCATTGAAAGGTCCACAAACCATGCCGGCAGCGGCTTCCTGGTATGCAGACGAGACGGTACATTCAGCGCCATTGGCACACTGAGAAGTGGCATTGCAGCTCTTGCCCAAAGCAGTGTTTGCGCCAGACGAGGCGAATGTGGTGGAGCCGGTCGGGACGGGCATGAAAGACATCATGCCAGAAGCAGTGGCGGAAGCAGTGTTGGCGAGGTAAGCAGAGGAAGCGAGGAAGCCATTGCAGAGACCGTTGTTGCAAGTGTTAGTTGCGCACTGAGAGTCGTTGCTGCATGCGGCGTTGAACTTTCCGCACGACTTGATGAGCCAGGCTGTAGAGGCGAAACACTCTGCTCCACCAGTGCACTGCTCCGTGTTCGCGCACTCGGCGCCCAGAGGAAGAGATCCAGCTGCCGCGACGACCGTCGATGAAGGAGCGGGCTGAATGCCACCACCCGATGAGGTCGACGAAACGACAGCGCTCGATGCAGTAGAGCTTGGGTTGTAGATGAGCGAAGTGGGCATCAGCCATTCGGATTGAGGCAAAGGACCACTGCAGAGACCTCCGGCGCAGAAGTTGGTGGCGCATTGAGAATCGTTGTCGCACTCGGCATTGTACTTTCCGCACTGAGTGATTTGCATAAAGTTGGAGGCATAGCATTGAGCTCCTCCTGCACACTGCTCGGTGCGGGCACAATCAGCGCCGAGAGGAAGAGTGCCGGGATCTGCGACGACAGTGGAAGAAGGGGCTGGCTGAGCTCCCTGAGCATTAACAGCAGCAACTGCTGCAGCGACAGCGAAGAATGAGGAACGCATCGTGTCGGAGGAATCTAGCGACTGAGATTGTCGTGAAGTAGAGGCAGGTAGCGAAGGATGTTGCTGTAGAAGGATGTTGATGTAGAAGAGACATCAGAGCAGAACCCCTCATCTTTATAAACTCAACTCAGAAAACATGCCACAGCTTGACCCCGCCCACGGCCGTATAACCATGATGATGGTTCAAGAAATCGAGAGCACGGTGGACTGAGCGCAGGTAGCAAAATGGAGCACCCCGCGTCATAGGACTCTGTTTTTAGAATAACGTTGATGTCCCAAGCCACTTCCGCTCGTGTTGATCTTGGTCAAAGTCTCTTGGCATCAGATTTGGCAGAGTCAGAGAGCCTCGGCGGTCGACTCAGCCGGTTATAGCTCTGATACTACGTCGTTGATCACTTTGTAGCGTTGATAATCTATGCATGGCCATCCGTGACTCCCGTGTTGATGCTATACCTGTGAAGTGGCATCGTACTTGGTCAAGTTGTTGCATAGCATTTCTACGTACTCGTATCCATGCCGTTCGAGGCTTCGTCGTCGTACAGGCCCTGCATGTCGTCTCGTGCCCATAGCTTGACTGTACGATCGTAACTTGAACTGACAATCCACTTGGCGTCGCTGGTGACATCGGTAGAAAGCACATGACCCGAGTGACCGCTCAGACTCTTGCACAAAGCCCAGTCGTCGGCCGAGAAGATCTTGACATTTCTGTCGAAACCTGCACTGACAAAGAAAGTGCCGCTCTTCTTGGGGATAAAGTCTTGTGTATCGCCGTGCTTGTCGAGAGACTCGCCGCTCAGGGGGCTGTCCGTACCCTTGAACCAGCGTAGATCAGTCACACCGCCCTTGTGAGCACCTATTGAGGCAGTCTCCTTCATTGCACGAATGTCCCAACACTTTGCGAAACCATCACCCGAACCGGTCATGACGCGGTAACCATCGGGACTCCAATCCAGGCCATAGATTGGAGCAATGTGGCTCTCAAGGTACAAGACGCGACGACCACTTCGCAGATCCCATAAACAGGCAATGCTGTCGAGACCAGCACTTGCGAGAAGGGAGCCATCGGTATTGAAAGCGACAGTATACGCTTCGTGTGAGTGGCCCTCTTGGAGAAGTAGTTCTGTGGTGGTCTCGACGTCCCATAGTCTCCATGTGGTGTCGTATGAGGCCGAGGCAAGGTATTTGCCTGAAGGATGGAACTCGGTACGGCAAACCCTACCAGTGTGGCCAGAAAGTGTCGAGATGGGTGTGTCCTGGTTCAGCGACCAGAGGTGAATGTTGCCCTCTCCACCGCCCGAAGCCATGTTCAAGCTGTCCTCTGACACAGTGGTGCCGTCCAAAGTAGAGCCAGGGAACCACGAGATACCACTGACCTGCGCAGTGTGTCCACGTAGAACAGCCTTTTCTTCCAAATTCGGTACGTCCAACAGCTTGATTGAACCTCCCCAGTTTCCTGCAGCGATCGTCTTTCCGTTGGGGGCAAAGCGAGCCATGCTGACGGGTCGCTCTCCGGCAATCTGCGAGCCAAACAACTCAAAGCCTGATAGCTTGTCCTTGACGTGGTTTCGGTGGTCGACGTGTCGTTGCAAGGGGATGGCAGACTCGAGTCGTTGGAAGTGGACGCGCAGTTGTGTCCTGGGCAGAGAGAAGCGGGCGATTTCCTTGCGCGCCTCGAGCAATTCGTCGACACCTTCGGTGTAGAACTCCTGCTCCTCCTCGTCTTCCTCATCTTCGTCCACATCCATAGCGAGATGCTCTCCGGTAGCTTCTTGTTTGGCGTAGAGCAGTTCTCGTAGACGGTCTCTGCGGTCTTCTGGACGCTCTCCAAACAGAGTAATGGGTTCCCCAATCTCTCGTAGCCTTGCGCGAACTCGTACATCGTCGGTGGGGACAGCAATGGCGTTTGCTTTGCGCTTGCGGTTGAACTGAGCGATCACATCGGCAGCTTTCTCTGAACCTCCGGTGGCCGAGGGCATGTAGTAGTCGGTATCCAGAGGGACATTGGTGAGGTCATAGGTCATGTCGGAGTCCTGAGTGATGGTCTGTGTCAGTGGTCGCCGAGAGCTGGAAGGACTTGTGAACACGCGCAGATGGCTGTCGGATGGACGAAAACATACCTCGGGCTCCTCCTCGACGTAGGCCTGCCGCGACGGGTGTATGGACATGATGGCGGTGGGGTGTGGTATGCTGTGGTGCTTGTCGCAAAGAGTGGTGGAGTGAGAGACGGGCACGCTGGAGCGGCGCCAAAAGTTGCAGCAGGCGGCAGCTTTCAGCCCCGGACTTGAGTCGGTTGGAAGTGGCCGAGTGAAAGTGCTCGAGTCAGTTGGAAGTGAATGAGAAAAGGTGCTCGAGTCAGTCGGATGCGGTCGACAGAGAATGCTCGAGTCAAAGCCGGGATGACGTGGAGGCCGAGGGAAAGTTTTGGGGACGTCGCGACACTCGCGCCTTGTCCATGTTGTTGCCCGTTGTGTCGTGCCTTCTGCTGCTGCTTCTCCGACTGTCTCTCCGCTATCAATATGCTGTAGATGCCAAAGATATCATGTCTCTCCGCCGCTCCCTCCTCCGCCCCCGACTGCCCTCGCTAGGCCGGCCCTTTGCACAAGCCTCGTCCATCAGGAGTCAGTCCACCCACGCACCCTTCACATACCGACTGGGTGCCTCGTCCAGCGGCAAGGGCAGTCCCGTAGCCCCTCCGAGCGACAACAACCTGTTCCCTCAGTCTCTGCTGGACCGCGACGACCCCTATTTCACCTCGGTCGACAAGTTCTCCGGAGAAGATGCCTTCTTCATGGCCAAAATCGCCCGTAGTGACAGACACGTCGTGTTCGGGCTCGCCGATGGTGTAGGAGGCTGGAGAGACTCGGGCATTGACCCTGGGAGATACTCGCACGGCCTGTGCAGGTACATGGCCCATAAGACGCATCGTCCAGACACCGAGACAGACCTGAAGCCGCGCAATCTGTTGCAGTACGGCTACGACAGGGTCATGAGTGATAGGAGCATCCAGGCTGGTGGTTGCACTGCCTGCATTGGTGCCATTGACCCATCTGGTGCTCTGGAAGTCGCCAAGTGAGTTGTACCCATCCCAGCATCTGCACCCCATACTGACAGTCGCAGTCTGGGAGACTCGGGCTTCCTCATCCTCGCTCCTGGCAAGGTTTCATTCATGTCACCAGCTCAAACACACGCTTTCAACACACCCTACCAGCTCAGCAAGCTCACACCACGCATGCAAGCCCAGAACCGCATCTTTGGCAACACCGGCCAGATCTCGGAAACTCCTCAACAATCAGACCTGACCACCCATACACTACAGCATGGTGAACTTGTCATTTTCGCGACTGATGGCGTACTGGACAACCTGTCTGGTATGGATATCCTCAACATCGTTCAGCCCATCATGGAGAAGCGCGGGTACTGGGCCGCCGCGTCAAAAGAAGCCATCGTCAAGGCTGACACGCTGCGGGATCCCAAAAATGCTGACGACATGTCAAAACTGCCTTCCGAGATAGCCTACTCCATCATGCGCAACGCCAAAATCGCTGGCATCGATACCCGCAGAGATGGCCCCTTTGCGAAGGAGGTTCACAAATACTTCCCCAACGAGGAGTACCACGGTGGAAAACCTGATGATATCGCTGTCATTGTTGCTCTCGCCATTCAGGATGGCACGCCCAAGGCAAAGCTATAGCTTTTCTTTGCCGTAATGTTGATATTTGCATGGGCTTGGAGTTGGCGGCGTCTTGTCTGCATCTAAGGCTGGTCTTTCTTTGGGTTGGCTGCTCGTCTATATATTTACTATCATGCTTTATTCGTCTCGTGATGACTTTTCTCGACATTCGCACTTGGTCATGACCATCGATTCTTCAATTGAGTGAGTTTGGGAAGATTGATGACCATGGATTGCAATTCGCATCGACGTAGAAAGGGAATATATTTAGATGTTCACGATGAAGGGCACATACCCATCAAGACAATGAATGGAAATGGTCAATACAACTAGCACAGAGGATGGATCACAACCTATTCCTATCTATAATGTGATCCGGTGCTACTGGATAATGCTACTGGTTTTCTCACGCGAGCAGGGTCGGCCACACGACAATGATCAATGCCAAGACTTTTGGCTTTCCTCTCCCGAGCGCCCGCCAGCAGAATCGAGAGCATCAACTTCAACTTTAGATCTCGCAACACAATTTTCGATCTCGGAGGCTAGACTTCTCAAGGAACATAGATTAAAGATTCCAGGATTCATAACATTGCACTGGAGCGATAGAATTACAGATCGCTTTCTACAAGGACTCAAATCTTGCAAACTCCTCTGGACATCACAAAGGAACAGACAATCGCGACAAGATTAGGACAGGGAAGACTGGCCTCAACAGCAGAGAAGAAGACTTATCAGGAACGGATCCACAATGCTGGACATTGGCAAAACTTCGAACCTGCCACAACCAAAATGCTACTTCAGCACCACAACCCTCTCTACATATGACGACTCTTCTGAACTTCCCACGAAGAAGGTGCCATTCAACCTCCTGCACAGTGCACATTACTACCACACGATAACTCTACTTTCACCATCTTCTTCCACCCTACACACGTCACTGTCCTCGAGCCGATCGAAGTATGCACGACTACGGATGCCGCTCTTATCGCTTTTGAGCGGAGACTTTTTCAACAAACACATCAAGACCGGAAACGTGTTATTACTCTCATCACCATTGAAAGTGGACACGACATCTTCAGAAGCGAGCTTTACGATGATCAATGGTGTGCTCAGCATAATATGCGATCGTGCACTCTACGAACGTGCTGGCCTTACCGGTACTGCTATACCAGACCCGCATGCCAGGAAACATGGTACTTCAAAGTTCCGCATCGAGCTCAACTTGCGGCTTCCGTCGATGCTCGCTGGAAAGAAAGGATTCGAGCGTATCTTACGGGCTGCAGAGACGGTTTTTCTGGGAGACATCTCGTGGCTCTTCTACGATATTTCCGCTGCAGGAGTGGTTGACAATGATGTGTCACTAGGCAAGGAAGTCGAGATCAGGGAGGTAAAACCAGATACTGAGGACATGGAAAAAGTGCTGGTCCCGGAATTCCCATCGAACATGACCAAGGGTGCCAACCAAGAGAACGATCTGGTCGAGTTGCTGGAATGGATTTCTCTGGCCGCTATCAACTCTCCAAGAATACAGCAGGGAGATTTGGTTGATGAGATTATCAGTCGCTACGAGGTGCCTGACATTTCTTCGAAAGCAGTGGATGGATCGAGGACTGGCGTAACGACACAAGCCGTTACAAGAACGACAGCCACTGGGTTCTTGCCAGCTTCTTTCGTTACGGACACGTTTGGAAATGCTCTTCTGCAATCGAGTGGGTCTTGGTTCGCGCTTGTGGTACAAGGATTCACAGACGGGAAAGCGTTTGTCGTACTCAAGACCGCAGACGATCAGGCTTTGAGTTGGAATGTTGAAGGGTGATCTGGGTATGCCAGAAGCGTGGCTTTGTATGGAATTAGATAACATAGAACAGTGTCAAGCTCGGGAGTGCGTGAAAGCGCTGCGGAGGAGGAAGCTCAAGTGGACCGTGCACGCGGCCATCAATGATGATTTTCGTCACTCAAAAGTTCGTCGCTCTTTCCACTTTTGTACACAAACAAACAACACACACGACATATTCACAATGGCATCAACGACGGCAGCAACGACAGGCGCGCAGCCACCCGTGACAATCGTCTGCGTGGGCATGGCGGGCAGCGGCAAGACGACCTTCATGCAGCGCATCAACTCACACCTGCACTCGAAACGAACACCGCCCTACGTCCTCAACCTCGACCCGGCAGTGCGCAAAGTTCCCTTCGACTCCAACATCGACATTCGCGACAGCGTCAACTACCGTGAAGTCATGAAGCAATACAACCTCGGCCCCAACGGCGGCATCCTCACATCCTTGAATCTGTTTGCGACCAAAATCGACCAAGTCCTGGGTATCCTGGAGAAGCGCTGTTTGCCTGAAAACCAAGAGAAGGGAGAGGAGGACAAGGTGCCCAAGCACGTCTTGGTCGACACGCCAGGCCAGATCGAGGTCTTTGTGTGGAGCGCCAGTGGAAGCATCCTGCTGTCTTCGCTCGCCTCTTCTTTCCCCACCGTCCTTGCCTATGTCATCGACACACCGCGCACCACCGCCTCCACCTCGACTTTCATGTCAAACATGCTCTACGCCATCTCCATCATGTACAAGACCCGCCTGCCCATGATCCTCGTCTTCAACAAGAACGACGTCAAGTCCGAGGAAGAAGCAATAGACTGGATGCGCGACTTTGAATCCTTCCAAGAAGCCCTGCGCAGAGAAGAAGAAGAGGAAGCAGAAACCGGCACTGGAGGCTCGGGATACATGGGCTCCCTGCTCAACAGCATGAGTCTGGTGCTTGAAGAATTCTACAACAATCTTTCCGTCGTTGGTGTGAGCAGCATGACCGGCGCAGGCATTGACGCTTTCTTCGAAGCCGTCGAGGAAAAGCGTGAAGAGTTCAACAACGACTACAAAGCCGACCTCGACCGCCGCCGCGACCAGCGCGAAAAGGAAAAGGAAGCAAACCGCGAAAAGGAAGTGCAGAGAATGATGAAGGACATGCGTGTGGGAGGAAACAAGTCGAGGACACCCAAAGAAGAGCCCGAGACTGTTTCCGAAGCAGAAGAGGAGGATGAGGATGAAGGTGGCTTGGTGGACAGAGATGAGGATGAAGACATCAGTCAAGAAAGTTTGCAGCAAAGATACCAGCAAGCTCTGGCTGCCGGGAACAGCCAGATGTCGGGTGAGGACATGAGTTTTGCAAAGTATGTCCAAGCTGCCGGTATGCAGAAGAAATAAGCACTTTCTACGCTTCTTCCTTCTCGGCCACTTCAATACAAAAACGACGTTATGATTCCAACCCTCTTTTTGTATTTCTCCGATCGCATCATGTCCTTGTCACGCCTGAGACATCTGGGAAAATGCCTTGTTGCATTGGGTTCACCAGCAACTGCAAATTGGATCCTCGTATACCAAGGACAACAGAGAACATCAACATCCACAAATGCGTACAGAAGAATGAACACTGACGCCGGTATATCGTCTTTGCTTGCATCTGCATCCTGCACCTGCATCTCAGATTGTCAAAGGTCGTAAGAATTCTATACAATGTTCTGGAGCTTCACAAATCAAGTAAGCACCCCCACAACAGATGACCTATGAATGAGAGGTATGCCACATCAAGGCAAATAAGCAGATACTCGCTACATTGGATGTGATGAGCAATGATGATCGTGTGCGCTACCACGGTAAAGCACAGAGATGCAGACCGTAGCTTTCGAGAATGCAAGCTTGATCTTGTCGTGTTGGCTAAACAGCGGCGTGCGGCAAAGAGGACAGGCGGATCCCAGGTTCTCGCCCACGAGCTGCAAGCAATCCCTACAGGCTTTGTGGTGGCAGACAAGATTGGCCAAGCAATCTTCATCCTCCCAGCATATCATGCAGATTCTTCCTCCCGAATCGCCGGCAAACTCGAGATTGCTCGTGAATTCGCCGAGTCTTGATTTCCAGGGGGTTTCCGCGACCACAAGGTGAGTGATGTGCTTCCAGAGACGACGATCGGCTCGGTGAGTGATCGAAGAAGAGAAAGAGTAGATTCTAGAACATGGAATCACAACTCGAGACTCACAATGAGCGTCTGGTCAACGCCGTGTTAAATTACATCAGAAGCTCGAGGATACCGGATCGAGGGAGTTCTTAGGGAGATAGAAAGCACCGATTACGTATGCATGACTGGAATTATGGTCAGGTCAGTGTATCTCCCAGCTTCATCCTGAGCTTTACGTCGGACCGCACAGAGCATTTTGAGTAAAACATAGAGGTAGTGGGGAGATAGGAGCGGAGTTGTTTGGAGACATGGACCTGCTTGGCTGACTTGCCTATCACTTCTCCAAACGGACAAGCCTCGCGAGTTGGAAGGCGGCTTGGTCCAGCAACATTTGAGGTGAAGGTAGTGATGATAGATCAACATGGTGATGATGATGATGATGATACGATACCGACAACGGTACCTTCACGCCCCATATAAATAGTAGTACTCTCCTTTGACTCGCGAAGTCGCTCCATGGCAACGCTCGTGAAGCAGTCAAGGGGTCTTGCTGGCGTGTTTTGAGAACCTCTCGGTCTTTAATGAGGTTTACAAAGTGCTTACGTGTAAGTGAATCTGGGGATGTCTATCGAGTTGCATTTGTGCGCAGCCAACATCAAGGCGGCACTGATGTTGCAGTTGTGGGAGACGCGGTTACTGAAATATCTTCCACGTAAATCGTGCTGGGAAACCTGCTTCGAAGTTCCAGCAACATTCACGACAGAAGAAAGTCATATTGAGAGCCTTGGCTTCATTGCGATACACATGTGCGCACAAGGCGTTCTTTGCATCGATCTTACCTTGGCAAGATCATCGTCTCATACCATCTTGATTCATAAGAAGAGTGCTATAGAAGCATCGAGTTGGTGAGTTACCTTGGACTTACCTGGACGCGCAGTCTGCCAAAAGACCCGGCTGACAACAAACTCAGAACGACGATCGTCTTGACAACAGAGTCATTCTTGACTGTGGCCTAGAAGAAAGAGAACATCCACTTGTAGCGAACGACAAGCATCATAATGGAGTAGACTGAATCAGCGATACAGGCTCTTTGTAGCCATTCCGAATGCGAAGGGGGAGTTTTGTAGATGTCAGTGGTTGGGTAGAGTACCGCGAAGAAATTGCTTGCGAGGATGAGTCTCAGAGCCGAGAGTCAAGGACCTGATATTGTCTGTATGGTGGCAGATGACGACGCTGAAAAGCATGTCATGATCTTGAGAAGCCGCGAAGTGTTTCGCTGTTCTGCGACCCTGATACTCGAACTCGAACTCTGCTGATAGACCATATTCAGGGCTTATACTTGTTATACAGTCGTAGCAGCTTGCATCTAGTTGTTGATGATGTGATGATACAGTATGTATATTGTTGAGTATGGAGCAGTCTCAGAATTCCTTCCTGGGGGTGTTCAGCTTCAACCGTCCTTGACAGTGGCCTTGAGACGTTCAAGAATGTATTCACCAGCCCGGATTGGAGGATACTTCGAAGGGCTCTCGTCCGAGACGCAGCTAGGAAGAGTCNNTGAAGATGTGATTAGCACAGATGTTGCTAAGTATTGTACGATCGTGCTTGCCTCAACCTGTTGATCATAGTTGATTGAAAAGAAGAATGGAACACTGTATCTCTCGTCTGTGGTTCTGTTTACAACACGGTGAATAGTGCTCTTGTAAACTCCGTTTGTCCATCTCATCAAGAAGTCTGCGACGTTGACGATGAATGCGCCTTTACANGCAGCTGCAGGAGTCCATACGTTCTCGGGCGTGAGGATCTCGAGACCATGAGTTGTGGATGAGAGCAACAAAGTAAAGCACTCATAATCCGTATGCGACCCAAGTCCAACCTCCTTGTCCGCTTCGTTGGGGTCCAGGGGCTTTGGGTCCTTCGAAGGAGGGTAATACAACAGGCGAGAGATACCACCAGGATGTGTCATCATCTCGTCGAAGTGGGTTTCTGGTAATGCCAAGCTCAAAGCGAAGAGCCTGAAGAGATGACGGGCGAGTTGCAGGACTCGACCGTAATACTCGGCGATATCTTGCTTGAAACCAGGAAGAGCGGATTCAGTGGGCCACACATTGCCATTTTCGGTGCTGCCGTCCAAGTCACGGTATTTGCCATCACCACCTGTAGGATCGAGAGAAGTTTCATAACCCCAGTTGAAGCCTTCCTTGGTCTCTGGCACGGCAGCTGTAGCCCAATCGTCGGGGTTCACATATGTGTAATCCGAAGGTTCCCATCCACGCATCAGAGCATTGTGCTTGACGTGCAACTCATCTTTTTGAGCAGGAGGAAGTTGCTTGAAGAAGCGAGAAGCCTGGTTCAGCACGCCTTGTCGAACAGATTCGGGGACGTTGTGACCAGTGACCTGGAAGAAGCCGCTATTGGTGCAGGCATCGCGAATTTGTGATGCTACAGCCTGCTTATCTTCCAGAGTGCCGTTGAAGGTCGAGGAGATGTCAATGACAGGAACATTGAAGGGTCTGGCTGGTCCATCCGTCTTTGTGGTAAGGCGATCATTGAGGTAGCTCTGGGCAGCGCGACGGGCCTCGTCTGAGGTGACGTTGTTGGAGGCCATTATAAGTGGTGTGGGAACTGCTCGAACGTCGGAGCGAAGGGTTCAAGCAGGATCTGAAGATTATATAGGATTGTTCGCTCGGAAGCGGATAACGATAGGCACGACTCGGGACTGGAACGACTGCCTACGGGGGCGACCTATCTTCTGACTCTAGAGCGATGAATCGCAGACAGGTGTCTGTTACAAAGTTTGCATGTGTTGATACAGTGGTCGGCGGGTTAGTCAATGGTATGATCAACGGGGCGATGCGGGGAAAGAGCTCGGGCACCCTCGTGGGCAATTTAGGCCAACCCGGCGGGAGCTCTATTTTTGAGGGTATGACGGACATGATTCTCGCACTATACAGTAGCTTCCTCATGCAGATGTGTATACAGCGTGGGCTAGACGTAGCTGAGAGGAGCTGAAGGCAGGAAAGGGGGTCGACGAAGGAGTCAAGATAGGGGGTCCAGGGCAAGTGGCCCAAGCTCGGAGAGCAATTGCGTCGTGTTTCGCACGTCGAGGGTAGTTGCGACAGCTGGCCAGACATTTTCCTCTTCTCTATTTCGTCCATCAGCCTCCATCTGCCTTGTGTATGTGTTGGTGGTGCTTTGTGTCTAGACCCGACTTTCCTTGACTTTTCCATATCATCTTTCATCATGTCAACAGCGGCGAGCTCCAAGAAGGGGGCCCNNGCGGCCAGCACCAAAAAGAAGGCCGATGGTGCCGTCGACCAGACCAGCGACTACCTGGCCCAGCTGAGGAGCGAGACCAAGCAGGCCGCATCCAATGACTGGGACTACAAGCTCGCTCTTGCCGTCATCACCGTCCTCGCCTTCGCAACCCGCTTCTACGCCATCACACACCCCAACCAGGTCGTCTTTGACGAAGTTCACTTTGGCAAGGTCAGACGAGCGGATACGAATCGAGGAAGCCATCGCTGACACACTCCAGNNTTTGCATCCTACTACCTCCAGCGCACCTACTTCTTCGACGTGCACCCTCCGTTCGGCAAGCTCCTGTTCGCTTTTGCAGGTTGGCTGGTCGGCTACAATGGCGACTTTTTGTTTGAAAACATTGGCGACTCGTACATCACCAACAAGGTTCCCTATGTCGCCTACCGCGCAATGCCCGCCTCGATGGGCGCCCTGACTGTCTCGGTTGTCTTCATGATCATGTGGGAGTCTGGCTACTCCCTGCCTGCTTGTGTCTTGGCTGCCGGTCTCGTTCTCTTCGACAATGCACACATTGGCCAGACCAGACTCATCCTGCTCGATGCCACCCTCATTCTGTTCATGGCCCTTTCCGTCTGGAGCTACATCCGCTTCTACAAGCTCCGTCACGCTCCCTTCAGCCGCAAGTGGTGGAAGTGGCTACTCCTGACTGGTTTCTGCCTCAGCTGCGTCATCTCGACCAAGTACGTCGGTGCCTTCACCTTCTTCTCCATCGGTGTTCCCGTCGCCATTGACCTCTGGTCTCTTCTCGACATCAACCGCAGACAGGGCGCTCTCAGTCTGCCCGAGTTCGGCAAGCACTTGGCTGCTCGTGTCACCGGTCTGATCGTCATTCCCTTCATGCTCTACCTCTTCTGGTTCCAGGTCCACTTCGCCATTCTTAATCGCTCCGGCCCCGGCGACGACTTCATGAGCCCCGAGTTCCAGGAGACTCTCAGCGACAACATCATGACCCAACAGTCGGTCAGCATCGACTACTTTGACGCCATCAACATCCGCCACAAGGACACCAAGGTCTACCTCCACTCTCATCCCGACAAGTACCCCCTTCGTTACGACGATGGCCGCATCTCGTCTCAGGGACAGCAGGTCACTGGCTACCCTCACAACGACACCAACAACCTCTGGCAGATTATTCCCGGAACCGGCGCCATCCCTGAAGAGAACGGCCACCGCGTCCACGTTGGTGATGTTGTCCGTCTTCGCCATCTTGTAACCGACACTTGGCTCCTCACCCACGATGTTGCTTCCCCTTACTACCCCACCAACCAAGAATTCACCACTGTTGGCCACGATGACGCCAATGGCGAGCGCTTCAACGACACCCTCTTCGAGATCAGAGTCGATGGCGCAAAGCCTGGTACCGACTTCAAGACCATGTCTGTCCACTTCAAGCTCGTTCACGTCAATACCAAGGTCGCCATGTGGACCCACACCACTCCTTTACCCGAGTGGGCCTTCAAGCAAGCCGAGATCAACGGAAACAAGAACGCTCTCCAGACCAGCAACATCTGGTACGCCGAGGACATTCCCGCTCTGCCCAAGGATTCGGACCGCGCAAAGAAGGAGCCTCGCAAGGTCAAGCACGTGCCCTTCCTCAAGAAGTACTTTGAGCTGCAACGCGCCATGTTCTACCACAACAATGCTCTTACTAGCAGCCACCCCTACGCCAGTGTTCCGATCCAGTGGCCCTTCCTTCTCCGTGGTGTCAGTTTCTGGACCGAGAACGACACTCGCCAGCAGATCTACTTCCTCGGTAACCCCTTAGGCTGGTGGTTGGCTAGCAGTTTGCTTGCCGTCTTTGCTGGTGTTCTCCTCGCCGACCAGCTCTCCCAGCGTCGTGGTGTTGATGCTCTTGACAAGCGTATGTACATCCATTTCACTATTCTGCAAACAAGACTAACAAACCTCACAGGCGCCCGCAACCGCCTCTACAACTCGACCGGTTTCTTCTTCCTCACCTGGGCCGCTCACTACGTTCCCTTCTACATCATGGGCCGTCAACTCTTCCTCCACCACTACCTTCCTGCTCACCTCGCCTCCGCTCTCGTGACCGGCGCTCTGGTCGAGTTCGTCTTCAACATCGATCCCGTCGACCTCGACGACGTCACCTCTGGCAACGTCACCCTCACCAAGAATAAGAAGACTGCTGTGCAGCAAAACAAGCCCGTACGCGAGAGAACCGGTCAGTCCAACTTGCTCGGCATGTGGGCTGCTACTGGCGGTATTCTTGCCGTCATCGTCTGGAGTTTCCTCTACTTTGCTCCCCTGACTTATGGTCAGCCTGGTTTGAGCATTGAGCAGGTCCAGGCCAGAAAGTGGCTCAACTATGACTTGCACTTTGCCAAATAGAGCCGTGCGAGTCTAGAGGGCATTTTTGCGGAAGCTAGCTAAAAGTATTGGTGGGCTTCTGAAAGTGCACAGTTTCTCTCCTGTAGCATCAAGGGGTTTTCCCTTTTCTACTCTTTTTTTTTTCTTTTTCCTCTGCTATCATCAACCAAAAATACAGATTTCACCATTTACACATCGATATAAACTTGTGTGCAACACTTTCCATCTCATCGCGCGGGGAGGTACTTGAACCTATATCCACTATCTAAATCATGGTACGGACGGTATAAAAGGACGCCATTGACGGTTTCGAGACTTTTCTTCTTTGCATGCCAATGGTTGGACCAAATTGCATGAGTCTGTCTCCAGTGTTCACTGCATCAAGGTGCCGCATGCTCACACACCTGTTTTCTAAAGAGACGAGGCAAGAGGCGGAAGAGAGGAGATAAGAGGTCAATAATCCTGTTCTTACCCGCAAACACCATACATACTGGAAGTCAGCACCAAGGACAGCGCGAAGAGCTTGAAGGTCAGTTGATGCACACACTGATCTCTTTTGCTCCTGCCAACGAAACCCGTCAAGGCGACAAAGGGCCGACAAAGATACTGATGCTCATACTGCCGACGACTTCATCGCTACCTCTGCTCTTGTCAAGACAACTCTTTGCGGCAAGGATGTCGACTCGCATTGTTTTTGGATCGGGAGCGGTAAAAACGACAGAGGTCTGTGAACCATTACTTGGACTCCTTGTTCTCAGACCACATTTTCTGGTCAGATATGTAGAGAAAGAAGAACGCCAGTCCCACGAAAATGGAATTTCAGAAATCCACAGAGATATACTGACCTGAAGTAACTAGCCGATATGAAACAGAATCGTCAGACTCTTATCTTTTGATTCATCCTATACTGCTCATGCTTGGTATAAGAATGGGTCTTGGCTTGATGTTGCAACAGGAGGTACAAACGGCAGTTGCGACCACATCACCAGAACATCCGTCGGATCTGCGTGTACTCACCTTCCCTCTTATTTCTGCTCTGGACGTTTTCCACTTTGCATTCAATCCGGAACTTGTCGACTCTATCATTTTTAGTCTGTAGGTACGTCACTGAGATATGAAAGTCACCTGATCCCAAGCAGTGGACACCCGTGCGGACCACCAACCCTTTCTCCTTGAGGAGTTCCAACTCTTCTCCATCGACTGAATGATTTTTCTTGCCGCGACTGAACGAGACATTCCGATTCTTTGTTTGCAGAAGCGCCGCCCAGATCAACTTATGTCGTAGCATATAGCTTCAGGCAAAACGGCATGTGACACCCCACTGCCCAATGGTTCGCCCTCTAAGCGCCCACGTAGCGCTACATGTACCGGGCAAATATCCAGCCAACCACAACCACCGTATGTGCAAGAGATATGCCGGCGCCTTGGTTGTCTCTTTGCAGCATGGCCGCCATTGCCAATAGACGCTGCAAGATGCTGCAGGTCTTTGTTTCGCAAGCCAATTGCACCTCTGCAAATATTGCCCAGGCTTCAGATACACTGACCCGGCGGTGTCTTGGAACCCGGATAGAGGCATGCGACAGCGCTGCTGCTCGCTCATGCTGCATTCGTAACAACTCTTGTGGCAGCCACAAGGTCTCCACTGCCTCGATTAAGCGCCAAGGTAGAGTGACTTAAGCACACCGAGGGACCCATTCCCAGACCCGTTTTTCTCAGATCGTGTTTTTGCATTTTGTAATCTGTCGCTTTTTGTCGCTTTTTCCCCTTTGCTCTACCTTAATTTCTCATCCGCTGGTCGGACTATTAACATTGCATATATTGATATCAGCAGCAACGATTATACCAGGAGTCCGAAAAGCCCGAGCAAGCATATCAGAAAATCGAAAACAAAACAAAAAGACGATACGATACCTTAATAATGGCGATCTATGTTCTACCAACGACAATTTACCAGCCACC